AAAGTTCAAGGGGTATTCCATGATTCACCAACTACAGTAACAAAAGCAACATAATGAACATAATTAAAGTGCATAACTTAAAAGATAATTTTGGTGAATTAAAATAGGTTCGTGGGCGGGGTACCTCGAAAAACCCCCAGTTCTTGCAAGCATTATCAATTTGATGTAGGATAGCTTTCCTCTCCCCACCAATAACATTGATATTCTCCAAGTTGATAACGGGGAAGTTCTCCATCTCGCACTTTTTCTTTCTCTTGTCTCTCTTAAGTAATCTTACTTTGTTTGTGTATGCAAATGGGAAGCTAGGTAGTAGGTATTTATAGAAAATCAAAGTGTAGGGAGAGGACAATACAACGATACAACGTAGACAAGTGATAAATATTATAAACAGTGTTGGAATAGTTAAAAGGCTAAGCGTACTCAATTTGATGTCATTGAATTGTCAAGTTGGACGTGGATTGGAATTATCTGGAGGTTGCCCCAACCTTCCTAGCCTTTTCCCGTTTGAGTTTTCCCATGTGATTTATTTCATTGGCGGCAAACTTTAGTTTAGCAATTGAATTACATTATTCATATAACAGTTCTATACACTACCTCTACTTTCTTTTTTATAAACGATAAATAATTCATTTATTAAAACTAATCAAATATAATTATATGTCATAGATTTATATTATATTCTTTAAATATTTGTAGTGTTAAATTGTTAAATTGATAATTTATATTTTAAACAAATTAATATTTATATAAATAATGAATGAATATCTCATTAAATTAAATCTTACCATAAGTAATATAAAAATTAACTAATATATTTATAATAGGTTTTTATTTTTTATAATCATGACAAAAGTACTAATAAATATTTCTCGTAGAAAATCAAAGTCAATAACATTTTATACAATATTCCTTTTGTTCTGTCACATTAATTATCTTATAACTTTGTTTTATTACACCTTGTGTTATTTAATGAAATTTTATTCTTGTCTATATTTTGAGGTCTGAGCTTACTAACCTCTACATTATAACATTTCGTTGTTTTATAAAGAAATATTGATTCTTATATTTATTTGTTTTTATTATATCATCAGGTAGTTTTTTTCTTTTAATTGTTCACTTAATTTTATACCTAAAATATAAGTGTCAAGCTATAATTATTCAACAAAAATTGAATGATAGGCCAATAGTATAATATAAATTTGAATTTTCTTCCTTGTTCATCTTCTTTAATAGAATACTTCTAATTAAATAAAAAATGATCAGGTTAGTGTTAAGATCATTTAAGGTTGAAATTTATTGGTATTACATTTTCACTACGATTTCCCGTGTCTGAATTCAAAGTAATACCAAACTGAAAGGTTGAATGAAACATTTCCTAGTTTGCTTTTTTTGTTTACAATTCCAAAACTTTGATTTCAGCAAAGCTCAGGAGAAGTTAGGGTGAGGTTCAGAAAAAATGCACACGACTCAGCATCCATTCTCAGTTGCTCTATTGAACTAGAAGTCAGAGTGAGGTTCAGAAAAATCATCACAGAAAAATAATCATGTTTCATTAAATTCTTGAAAGAATAGAAAAAAGGAACTTTTTTTTTTGCAAACTTGAAAAAATAAATCTAGTTACGTCTTAAAAAATATAAATCATTTATAAATGCTTTTAAAATCCTATCAAATGAAACTATCAAAGCAACGAAATAGTAGGTCATATGGCTCGTATGCCTCTGTATTGAAAAAAAAAAAGTTTCAACTATAAAATGATAATTGCACATGTGAAAAATGGAGATGAAGTGTTACTTAATAATATGCATTTGAACATTTTCCAAGATTGGAAGCAAAGATGGGAAAGGAAACAGTGACAAAGAGAATAACGAAGAAGGATGGTGTGTTACGGTAGGGAGATAGGAAGTGAAGGGGAAGGAACGAAGGAGGAGTGGTCAAAGAGATAATTTAATTAGGTTAATTAAAAATAGTTAATTTTATTTAATATTTAAAATTAAATTATGAAATATTGTAACAATGTTTACATTTTAGGGTTTGAGGTTAGCCGTCTGAATTGAATTTAGAGAGTCTAAAATGGATTAAAAGTGTATTTTAGTTAAGAAGTCAATTTAACATTATTGATTGAAAGGACTACTCTTCTTTTGACCGCTTGACCAACAAACCTGTGTTGTAAATTGTTTAAATTAATAGCTTATGTTGAGTTCCAACATTGACAATAGTTGCTCAATCTCTTTATTAAAACAACCATATGCTACATTCACGAGTGCTGTCTTTAAAATATTATGTATTTTTTGTTTAATCCTTCATTTTCTAAAATTATCAGTCTTGCGGTTGTAATTTTTATGGGTTTTGAATCAGTGTCTTAAGGATAATCATAGAAGAATTCAAAATAATCTTTGTTTTTTATTTTTAATTCATTCACTGGTGTCTACTCATTAGCATTTGCTGTTTTTTTTTTATTTTCATACAATTTATTTATAGTTTCATTTATTTTGTCTTGTATGTTTTATTTTATTTATTTTCATTTTTAAATATTACAACTTTTTTATTTAATATTTCTAATATTATAACTTTTTTTATTTTTTACAAATAAAATAAATATCTATTAATTATTAAATAAAATAAACAAAAATTAATATAGAAACAATATATAAAAGTATTTTTTTTAAAAACTAAATAATAAATTTTAAAATGTTTTTGGTAAAAAATCTGGAATAATAATTACTGTTAATATTATATTAAATAGGTATAATAAATAATAAAATTTAGTAATTTATTTTTAAAATATATAAATATTTTTTAATTTTTAAAATATTAAATAATTATAATTATCAATCGAAGAATAGTAGAAAATATTATTTCAAGTTTTTAAGTAAAGTAGCAATACGGTCAGTCAAAATAACCTTTTAATGAGAAACTTATATTTTTTTTGCAGAATTAAGTTAAAACTTTTTGCTCATTAGTCAAATTAAGTCTCTTTTCAAGATCATAATTTCAAAATTATCTTACGCCAGACCTTCGGAGAAGTAGAGGTTATGAGGCTGCCATGCCATAGGTTCATGGGAAGCTCATACCTTTTTTTTTTTTTTCTTTTTTTTTTTTCTTTTACCAAATGCTTTATAAAATAACACTTTTAAGTTTTTTAATATATTTTATTTAGTAAAATTAATATTTTTATTCTCTAATTTTTTTATCCATTTAAATATTCTGACTTGTAAAATTATTTTAAACAAATTATTTTCTGTCAATACAAGTTATATTTATCGTCTTTTTTAAATTTTGAGTGACTTTAGTCTTTTTCATTTTTTTTCTCATTCTTTCTTCTTTTTTATTTTTATCTTCATTTTTAATATCAATCATCAATGTTAAGAAAATAATGTGTTTCAATGTTTGAAAGAACAAAATTGAGGGGCAATAATGAAAAAAGCGCTGCAGCCAAAATAAATTTCAAAACTAATACAAAGCCTTTGACCTGTGTTCACCAAAGAAAACTGTTGGGTAACTATTGTTCTTGTTTAAAACTTCAAAAACATGATTAAAAAATATAATTTTATTTCTAAAAGTGACAACTCAAGTTCATTTTGGTTTCTAAAATTTATATGTTGACAAGTTGGCAGGATAACACTTGGACTAATTTGTAGACGCAGGTGCTTTTAAATATAAAAGCAACTCGAATGATAATTTTTAGGAATTTAATTATATGTTAACTTTAAAAAATTATTTTGAATAGGAAAATTTTAATGGGAACATTTTATAAACTGTATTTATCAAAAGCCGTAAGGGATAATCATGTAAATAAATAAAACTTCCCATCATCCAACTTTTCATCAAAACTTGGCGCACTCAAGTGGGCTTGTAGTCATGGACCTAATCAAAGAATTGGGCTTGTAGTGATGGCCTCATAGGTGTCTAATGGGCTTGTAGTTACTTCTAGCTTTATCTTGTATTACCGTACCGTTGTTATAACTGGATTACTCCTTCTTTGTAACGAATCTTGCGCTAGTAAATGTAACGAATTATATAAAACATAAAGTTCAGTGGAAGAATTTTATAATTTTATTCCTACCTTTGCTCCATTCCAAATTATTTTCAGTTTGCTATGTTGCACTTTAATGGGAACAAATTGATCCAAGTGACTGATTTCTTAAGGACATACTTGCCAATCAAGAACTTTTAATTTTAACTCAAGCAACTAAATACCGCTTACACGTAAAATTAATAAGAAAAAATAAAAATAATGTCCTAATTTGGTCTATGACAAAAATTACTCAATTCACTTTTGAAAAAAAAGAATCACCCAATTATCTCTCAAAGTTACAAATTTGAAACAATTTAGTTTTTCAATCATTTTTCTTCTATTTTTAGCATATGATTAGTTATGCAAAAATGAATCGTATACTAACTTATATTCGATAAAATTACTAATAATCCAAATTAGTCGCCGAAAATATTCACTCAAAAGAATTTAAGTTTTTATATTTGTAATTTTAAGTGACTAAATGGTTGATTTTTCTTTTTAGGATCAATGTGTTTCCCTTTTTTTAAGGGGCAATTGTGAATATTTACTGAAAAAACAAATTTTTATTTACAAAGATTTAGCAAATATTAAAAAAAATTTATTTTAATGATAATTTCCAAAGTGATCTACTTGGCATTTAAAGGGTAGTCCAGACAATTATTTTAAAATAATAATAATAAAATGTTCCTTCTACATTTTTTTGTGACTGAAAAATAACATGGCCTTAACCAACCATGATCTTGGTCAAAAGGCCAAGAAGGTATTCACTTGAGTGTCTAATATATCAAATTAAATAGTAATATTATTTAATTTTAGTATATTGTTAATAAAAATTTATATATTATTAATTAATTAAAATATACCGTAAATATAATTTTTATATTAATTATTGTAAAAATTAACAATTTTTGCTGATATGTTATGTGACACTGTAATTTTTTTACACGCTGTTATTATATTTATTAATACTAATAATCATAAATGCAATGAACTTGGGAATTGATGCATTTTGGTGGAGGTACGGTATTGGGGGTTTGGACATTGGGTGGGCGTTTTGATTGTAGCAGCCAACTTGGGCGGAGTCGCAGTCTTCATTTTCCCTCTATCTCACCGTTCACCATTCTCCACGGTGGCGTCTCGTTACGATACTCCTTTACCCCAAGGTTCTCTCTCTCTCTCTCTCTTTCCTCTTCTTTTTTTATCAATTACAAACAATGCTTCAGATCTTCCGAGAAATTCGCTCCTATATATATACATTTTTTTTTAATTTTATTAATTTCGTGTTTTGAGGTTCGAATTGTTAATTGCCCCATGTTTTTCAATGCGCGGGTTTCAGAAATGGATTGGTTAGGAATCTGATTCTGATGCGTCTGCCTCCGATCAAATTTTCGTTCTAAATACTCAGCTTAAGATACCGTATCTCAGCTCATTACTTATGTTTCTACTCTTTAATTAATATTAATTTTTTTTTAGCTTGGATCGTGGAGATTCTTCATAAATCTAATTGTGGAGATTCTTCGTGGACAATTCCTTGTTTCTGCAGGTTCTCTTTGTCAATTTTTGGTTTTTGATTGTTGAGGATGGTGCTGGTCTTGGCCCTGGGGGATTTGCACATACCCCACAGGGCGCCTGATCTTCCTGCTAAGTTCAAATCCATGCTTGTTCCTGGCAAAATTCAGCACATCATTTGTACTGGAAATTTGTGTATTAAAGTATGTTCATTCAAACAACTATTACTCATCCAGTTTCGACTGTTGTTGTGTTGTGTTGGAATGTAATTGATCAATTGCCTTTACTTTATAGTTCTCAACTTCTATATTATAAAGAACAAGAGACAAGGGTGTGAAGGTCCAAATTTTTTTTTAATATTGCCTTTTATCTTTTGGAAAATGAAATATTTTTTCCCCTCAAAATCTTGGTAGTTGTTTTTAACCGTAACCAAAAATATTTTTTTATGCGTATAAAACCGGTTACCAAGTCCCTTAAGGTCAGTGATACTGTGTTATTGACGACAACAAAGGGGTTGAATACATGATTTATATTGTTTCACTGTTCTAGCATCAGTAGCATGCGTACTGTCTCTTTCTTGTAACACAACTTATGTTCATGTATTATTTACCCCCTTTGTGTGGCATCAATTATCTATCGGCATCTACTAAAATTAATTCAGTACGTTGGTTATGGTTCTGTTTTTTTATATGCTATTTTATTCACATTAATTTGGATGATATGGATTAGATGAGTTTTTAATGGCTCAATGTATAAGCTAATTTTATGCCATTTATGTACAGGAAATTCATGACTACTTAAAGACTCTTTGTCCGGACTTGCATATAGCTCGTGGTGAGTATGATGAAGAGACAAGATATCCAGAGACCAAAACACTGACCATTGGCCAATTTAAGCTGGGACTATGCCATGGTCATCAGGTCTGGTTTTGACACTTTGATATTATTTGTCCCATTTTTTCTTAAATGGATGACCTAAGAAAATTGTGAGCATGGGGAAATTACACATGATATATTAGTAGCAATGGTGAAGATCAATGAGGTGGAATTAATTTGGGATGAATGGTAATGGTCATCAGGTCTGGTTTTGACACTTTGATATTATTTGTCCCATTTTTTCTTAAATGGATGACCTAAGAAAATTGGGAGCATGGGGAAATTACACATGATATATTAGTAGCAAAATGAATGGTGAAGATCAATGGGGTTGAATTAATTTGGGATGAATTGTAATGTTTTCACAATGTTCAATTATAATTTATAACCCAAGGGTTAGTTTATATATAGTATATCCCATCAAAATTTTCTGTTACAAGCCTGCAATCCAACAGCCCTGCATGGCAAATGGCAGCCACCATTGACACTATACTGGCCCCACACAAAGTTAATTACTTTCCTGCATTCCCCCACAACCAGTTTGTAGAGAAGGATTTCAAGCTTCCAAATTCGTTAGACAGAAAATAAATTCAATGAAACTTAAGAGATCAAGAAAAATTGCAACATAGAAACAACAATATTCTTTGTTTGAAAAAACTAAGGAAACGACCAACACTTGAGAAATCAAATTGATTTCTCTGCCCTGGAAGTTGCCCACTTAGACACGGAAATCACCTAGCCCAGTTGATCACTCAGCTATTCTCTTCCATGTCTACTGCTGCAAAGCCACCCATCTCCAGCAGGGCGCTGCCTCCAAACTTCAGCCATGCCTCCACGGTAACACAATACAGTGCCAAGTGGGTACCAGCTGGGCACATGGGGTATGGAGGAAGAAAATAACATTATATTTAAATGTAATATTTAACACTATTGGGGTCAAACTGGAAAACCTACCATAACAGATCAAAATCTAGGACTAGCTGTAACAATGCTCACAAATGTAGTGGGTTCACTTTAGAATAACCCATTTGCCCCATTTCACATGTAAATATCAACAGTTTAGGATTTTTTCCGCAGTTGGTGGGTGCTGCACTTTAGGTTTCATGATCGAAGGTCTATGATCTATACATCTATAAAAAGTGTGGGTTGGAGTAGTATGTCATTCCTGTAGATTACCTTGCTACAGCTTAAGTCTGAGCTGAGTTATTTATGTCATTCTGCTGCTTTATATTGCCGTTTTGTTGGTTCATTTATTGTCTCTTTCCCATTTTGCTTGGTGGTGTTTAACATGTGCAGTTTACATCTGGTTTATTTTATTGTTCTAGCTGCTACCTTATCCACTCAATCATGTTCCTCCAGTGATTGGATTTTTAGGAAACTGACTGTTTCTGTTTAGTAGAAACTAAAAACTGTGCTATATGTATTGGTATGTGATAAGAGTTTTTAATAATTGTGAAGGTTATTCCATGGGGAGACCTAGACTCACTGGCAATGCTACAGAGGCAGCTTGATGTAGACATCCTTGTCACGGGGCACACCCATCAATTTACAGCTTACAAACACGAGGGTGGTGTGGTTATAAATCCGGGTTCTGCCACAGGTGCCTACAGCAGCATCACTTATGATGTGAACCCAAGTTTTGTCCTTATGGACATCGATGGTCTGCGTGTTGTGGTTTATGTATACGAACTTATTGATGGAGAGGTTAAGGTTGACAAGATTGATTTTAAGAAAACATCCACAAGCCACTCTGCTCATTAAACATTAGTGTTCTGTTCATGGTCTCTATCGTCCTTCTCTTTCTTATTTGGTCTTTAGTTTCTTTCTCCTCCTTCAAACTTTCGAGGGCGTAATGTTTTTTAGTTTCATTTTGCTTTGTACACTTGTTGTATTTGGCCATATCATAGGATTCTTAGGATTTTATTAATTGGTGATCTGTGCCAAACTTATATGACTATTTAATTAGCAATGGCTTCGTATATTACTTTTACCAGTGATTGGTCCAGAGATGAAATGCAGCAGAAAGAAATTTTTTTATGTAAAAAAGGTAATATGAAAGGAATTAATTTGGGAATTAAGTTACTGGAATTTGGAGGAAAAAATATTTTTAACATAAAATAAAAAAAAAATTGATCACAATTAATAATTTGGGAGTCAAATTATGGTCAAGCCATATATCTGGAGTTAATTAAGATGTTAAAGAGTTTACTATTTAGAAGTGGATTTTTTCTGTAGCATATAATCTGAGCAAAGTGAACTTCTTGATTAGTTTTTGAGATAATATGAGTTGAGAGTTTTAATTCTTAAGATTTTATATATTTTCTTAATAATTGAATTTGTAAAATTATATTTATTAAATGTATCTTTTGATATTAAATGATAATATAAAATAAAATAAACAAGAATTAAAATGTTTGATTCGTATAATTTTGATGATCGATTTGAGAGTTTATTTAAACAAAGTTAAAATTTTAAAAATTTATTTGACAGAGAAGATAATATAAAATGTAATATATATATATATATAATCTTGTAAAGCAAAAAAATCCTAAAAGTACTGTAACATGAATTTTATTTTATTTCTAAAGTTGAATAACTAAAAGTGTATTATATATATGAGCAATGGTGATGAGTAGGAAAAGTTTTTGGACTAAATCGGCACGAATGAATGTAATTTGACGTTATTGGCCAAAAATAATTACAAAAAAAATAAAACAGAGAACGGAAATCAGTTTGGGTTCATTGTATACAGTTTTCATCAATTTTATTTTAGTTTGGTGTCATGTGGGAATTTATATTTTATATACAAAGATTAGTAATAGGTGACTAGAGAGGGTGGGTTGGTTGCTTGGGGACAAAGCCGAGAGAGAAAGTGAAATGGATCCTCAACTATGGCACAAAGTGGCTGCGATTTCAGGTACGATCTTCACTCTTTGATTTCATCATAAATCAAAATCCTTTTCCTTAGTAACAATAATTTTAATAATTGTATTAACTGAAACTTAATTTCAGGAGTGGCAGCACTTGGATTGGGAACCTACGGTGCCCACGTCTTCAAACCCCAAAACCCTTCTTACAAAGATGTTTGGCAAACGGCGTCGCTTTACCATTTGGTTCACACCGCTGCCTTGCTTGCCGCTCCAATTACTAGACACCCCAATCTTGTAAGATATCTATTTACTAACAATTTATCAAATCAATTACTTTTTTCACTCATCGTTTTGCTTTTCCCAGTTTGGTGGCCTTCTAACAACTGGCATCTTGGCTTTCTCTGGAACGTAAGTCCTTATTTTGAGTTCAAACTATTTGTGATTTTCAGTCATCCCTACAAATACCCACATCAGTGTGACAAACATTGATGGATTCGTTATATAGTGAAGTTTGGAAAATACTCGTAAATTGATCTGTAATCTCATCTTCCACATCTTCTTGGGAGATAATTGAATTACCTATAACATTTTGGAGACCAAAAATGGAATCGTTTCTCCTTCTTTGCTCCACAAAGGAGGGCAATATTTTAGAATTTACTCCCATTGTTTGAAGCAGTTAATTTTCATGCATTGTTACTTGAATGCTTGATGGTAAAGCAGGTTGGATGGCTTTTAACTGGCTCATTCTTGAGCAGAAGAAAAGTTTATGCCTTGAATTTTTGTAGGAAACCATAAACATGATATTCTGAGGTTTTTTCATGTTTTATGTCAAATTTTAAGTGTCATGCATGAGATGATTCAGCAATTCACTGGAATATACCCTTTCTCCAATATATTAGACTAGTCTATAACAATATTGTGTTGCTGAATGCTCTGGCTTTTGTTAGGAAATATTGGTAAGAGATTAGAATGATCGTTAAATTGTATTCATATGATATCGGAGGAAATGTTGAATTTTTAGGTGTTACACTGTTGCACTTCTTGAAGACAGAAAATATTCAACCTTGGCTCCATTTGGTGGATTTGCATTTATAGCAGCTTGGGGTAGCTTGTTTTTCTGATGCTTCGCAATTAGACTGTCATGGAGTTGATAATATTCCACCCAGATACTTCATATTTGTAAATCTTATATTGTTTTTCTTGCCAATGGTTTATGATCTTGATCAATGTATCTTTCAGACTTTGTAATTTGGCGATTATGTTGTATCCGATGATGTTTCAAAACAGATCGTAGATTTTCTGATCAAGCTTACTCGTGTATGTGAGCCCTCTATCAGCAAAAAAAAAAAAAAAAACTACAGTAAAAAAAAGAGACAAGTTCTATATATATATATATACATCCCATGACTGTTCAGGTGAATGGAAAATGAATTTTGCAATTCTCTGGTGTGAATTTTGACTCTTCTGGTGTGCGGAGGGTGCATTGTGCTGGTGGATTACTGTGAATAAATAATCTAAATATTTGTTTGCTGCAAATCTATAGAATGGGTAAAATGCTAAATTAGTCTTCGAGATTGCAAGAATCTGACATTTGAATACCTGAGATTAAAAACCCTCTGTTAGATTTTGACTTAATATATTCATTTTAGTTTTTTTTCTTTTGTTATTGTCAATTTATATATTGAAAAGGACCAAAATAAACAACTTTTTACAAAATTAAGATTAAAAAGGTGTTTTTAAAATCTCAGGATAAAATATTTAACCGATATAACTTGGAGAACTAACTTGGCGCTTTGCTCCGATATATCGCTATCAGGCTGCTTGTATTCTTTTGTTTGATGAATGCTCATTGCGATCTCTGTTTCAATATTATCTGTTTGGATTGTCCATTAACGGAAATGGATTTTGTGTGATCTAAGGTTTTGCTTCAAAACTGCTGTTAATAACGAAAGGGCGTTTATCATATGGTAAAATATGGTATACTTGATTTCGAAAATTATGGCTGCTTGTTTTAACATTCTTTCCCTTTGAGTCCATTGTACATGTAGGGCGAGACAGTCACAGACGGGGTTCATAATGAAAAACGAGTGTTTCACACCACTTGGAAGTGTATACAACCTCGAATGAAGATAGACACAATAATTATCATAAGAGTTTGATTTAAGTTATTGTTAATATAAATTTCTTATATTATTACTTAATTATATCTTATGATATGGTTTTTAAATTATTATAAAGATCAAAATTTAATATTTTTAACTTTGTAATAAATATAGTTCAGTAATATATATATATATATATATATATATATATATATATATAAAATTATACCACTTATAAATTTCAATTTCAATCGCCAATTTTCCAAGGAAGGCTAATTTTTTTTATAGGAAAAGAGGTTGTCTTCAATTCATTCCAAACTAATGGAATTTTCAGTTGATAACTCCCTTACATATATCCTTTATTTACCAATATATTCTCCATTTTACTAAAATATAGTGCACATCATCTATGTGCTTACATCACAAATAGACACGTCACAAGTATATATAGTTAAAAACTATAAATAACAATAGTATTAAATATTTTAACAATAAACTCTGATAGAGAATGAGTCTTCCATGAACATTTATCAACCAAAAATGTTTTTCAAACATCCTACCGGCTACTCAAGAGAGACACCATTGACTGTCCCTATTTTTTTTTAAAGATAGATACGTGACATATGAAGAAAAATAAAATACTAATCGATCTAATACAATATAAAAATAGGGGGCAGATATTTAAAATAATGGTTCAAATAATGTATCCCTTTATCAATATTGGTCTGAGTTAATTAAGTTAATTGTGTCTATCGATCACCTAACCAACCGATAGAAAATTGTTTGAAACTTGCTAGTGTCTGTTTTCCTGAAAGACCAAGTCCACGTTGCGGAGCTATAGAATTCCAACAACGCCGTGAACCTTAATAACATCTTATGAACATCAACCAAAGAGATGCATGCAACTTCGTTATGCTAAAACTTGTTAGCAAACTGTTATAAACGTAGGTTGTGATTTGTGAGTGCATGTCAAAGCTTAAAAAATGTTATGTGGAGAATCTTCCTCAAATTCCTATTCCAATGCACCATTGCGATGGAAGTACCATGTTTTCTTGAGTTTTAGAGGAGAAGGTACACATCTTGATTTTACTCACAACTTGCAGGCTTCGTTGCAGCGAAAGGGAATCATAACTTTCAGATATGACAAAGACAAACAACTTGAGAAAGGAGATGTGATTTTGGAAAAACTCCATAAAACAATTGAAGAGTCCCTTGTTGCCATTGTGCTTCTCTCCGAGAACTATGCTTCTTCCACTTGGTGTTTGGAGGAACTACAAAAGATTCTTGAATCAAAGAGGGTGTTGGGGACAGAAATTCTTCCTGTCTTCTATGATGTAAATCCTTCTGATGTTAGATACCAGAAAAATAGTTTCGCTAAGGCTTTGGAAGAACATGCGATTGAATGTGAGGAGGACAAAGAGAAAGTGCAAAAATGGAGGGAATCCTTGAAAGAAGTTGCTGGTTTTTCTGGCTGGGAGTCTAAGAATATGTCTTACTTATGGTAATTTGACTATATCAATTCTCATTATTTCAGTTTTGAACAATGAATTTAAAATTAAGTAGAGTCAATATTATACAGCACTTTATACAGTAATATTTTTTTATATCTCTTTTCATTATAGTATTTATTTATTTCATACATTTATCTCTCTTTCTTTTTATTTCTTTCTTATTGTATAAATTAAAAAAGTTTATAAATACTACTTTTTATAAAAGAGTCGGGAAATGGAAGGATAAGCTAACTATTTTTTGAACTATGATAAGCTACACGAAGAGTTGAAGATGATTTATAAATATTGTTGTTGAAATAGTTTCAAATTTAATATCATACTAATTTTAATTGGATTGTGCAATGAAAAGTATGGAGGTATTGATCAGAGACTTTGATATATGAGTTCATATATAAAAAACATTGGGACCTGCCGATTTTGAAATCATAGTACTTCATAGGTTAAATATTAGTTACTTCTTGGTTTAAAACCAGTTAAGATACTTCTACTAACTTATCTCGGTTATTTGTATGAAAATTAGGGCTTAAATTTAACTAACAACTATTAAACGTATGTATTCCGATTTTTGTGAACTAAAATTATGCAAACAAGTGGTAAGCTTTTTGTTTTATTATATTTACTTTTTCTATTAATAGGAAAAAAGAAGAGCTCATTGACGATATTATTGAATCGGTATGGACAAAGCTACGTTCTAAAATGCCATCTTACGATGACGGGCTAGTTGGAATTGATTCAAGAGTTGAAAAAATGGATTCACTTTTAAGAATAGAATTGAAAGACGAGGTTCGTATTATAGGAATATGGGGCATGGGTGGCATTGGAAAGACAACTCTAGCAAGAACTGTATTTAAGAAAATATGTGACCAATTTGATATTAGTTGCTTCCTTGAAAATGTTGGTGAAATTTCCAAGGAGAGTGAGGGTATGCTTAGCTTACAAAGAGCACTTCTTTCTCACATTAAAATAGAAAGCTTGAAAATCGAAAATTTGGATGAAGGAAAGAGCACAATACACCAGCTCTTGCACAACAAGAAAGTTCTCCTAGTCCTTGATGATGTTGACAACATAAGACAACTAGAGAATCTGGCTAATGAACAGAAGTGGTTTGGCCCTGGGAGTAGAATTGTAATAACAACAAGAGACATGGAAGTACTAAGATCATATGGAACAACTAAAAGTTATAAAATTGAACTATTAAATTCTGATGAATCCCTTCAACTCTTCTACAAGAAAGCATTTAAAGTAGATGAACCACAAGAGCATCGATTGCAGTTGTCAAAAGTTGCTGTCCAACAAGCTGGTGGCCTTCCTTTGGCCCTTGAGATGTTGGGGTCATCCTTGTGTGGGAGAAATGAATCTCAATGGAAAGAATTCTTGGATATGAAAGAATATTCAAAGAAAGATGTTGTGATGAAGAACCTTAAAATAAGTTATGATGGGTTGCCACCAAGTTATCAGAATTTATTTCTTGATATGGCATGTTTCTTCAAAGGGTGGGTAAAAGAGCATGTGAGACAAATTCTAACAATTTGTGGCCGTAATCCATCAGTTGGAATTGAAGTTCTAATTGATAAATCACTATTAACTTATGATGGATTACGTTTGGAGATGCATGATTTGCTTCAAGAAATGGGAAGAAAAATTGTTGTTGAAAAACAAGAAAGTCTAATAGATGCTAGCAAGCGCAGTAGATTGTGGTCACCTGAAGACGTTGATCAAGTACTGAAAAGAAATAAGGTAAGATTTTAGTTTATTTTATTTTATGCAACTGGTCAATGAATTTGTAGTTGAATCGCGAAGAACCTCCCTTCAGTCTAAATTAACCACAATAGTGGTAATCATGTCTTAACATTTTATGTTTTCCAGGAAAATGAATTGATTGAAGGTATAGTTTTGAAGCCATCCACTCAGCCATATGAAGCAAACTGGGATCCCACAGCCTTCTCCAAGATGCATAATCTTAAATTCCTTATCATTAATTGTCATAATATACAACTTCCACGTGGCCTCAAATGTCTTTGCAGTTCATTGAAATTTCTTCAGTGGACGAAGTATCCTTTGGAAGCTTTTCCGCTTGGTGTGCAGCTAGATGAACTTGTAGAGTTGAGAATGCTTTGCAGCAAAATAAAAAAGATCTGGGGTGAAAATCAAGTAAGTAACTCAGCTAATATCTTGTGCATTTAATTTAATACTATTTCATTGAAGTTTTGTTTTGATTGGTCAGTTTTTTGCAATGTTGAAGCTCATTGATTTGAGCCATTCCGAATATCTAATTCAAACTCCTATCGTTTCTGGGGTTCCATGTCTTGAAATTTTGCTTCTTGAAGATTGCATAAACCTTTTTGAGGTTCACCAATCTGTTGGACAGCACAAGAAGCTTGTTCTATTGAACTTGAAAGAATGCATAAATCTTCAAAACCTTCCAAGAAAATTTGAAATGGACTCTTTGGAGGAGTTGATTCTTTGTGGATGCTCAAAAGTTAAAAAGCTCCCAGACTTTGGAAAGGATATGAAATGTTTATCATTGCTTAATTTGGAGAGTTGCAAAAATCTTATTTGCCTACCAAATTCTATTTGCAATCTGAAATCTCTTAGAAAACTCAGTATTTGTGGTTGCTCAAAATTTTCTACTCTTCCCAGCAATATGAATGAAAATGAGTCTTTGGAGGAACTTGATGTCCGTGGCACTGCTATAAGAGAAATTACTTCATCCAAAGTTTGTCTCGAAAATCTCAAGGAGCTCTTATTTGGTGGAAGGAAAGATCTGCCATCCAATTCATCACGGAACTTGTGTCAACGGATCTTGAATTTTTGGAAGCAAACAGTTTTGAAGCAGTTGATCTTGCCTCCACTTTCTCATTTTTCCAGCTTGAAGTTCTTGGATTTAAGTTATTGTAACCTTAATGATGAATCAATTCCAGATGATCTTGGATCCTTATCATCTTTGTTGGGCTTAGATCTAAGTGGGAACAATTTTGTTAGTCCACCTGCTCATTGCATTAGTAATCTTTCTATGCTGCAAAGTTTGACCTTAACTGATTGCCCAATGCTTGAGTCTTTGCCTATGCTTCCACCAAATGTTCAATGCTTATGCACGGCTAATAGTACCCAAATGAAACCCTTGAATTCAGATGCATATATGCTATGGAAGATCTTTGAGTCACATACCAATCATGTATATTTTTTATACACACCTCATTCTCTCTATCCTAAGCCCCCTACTACACCCCCTAATTATTTCCATAAAGTTTTGGTTTCCCAAATGGAAGATAGGCCACATATTTGGTTCATCATTCCAGGGAAAGAAATTCCAAAATGGAATGAACAACATTTTCCAATTGATCCATCACATCACCCATATAACAAGTTGGGTTCTGATTCAGTTGCATCAATGGTAGTGGATGTACCTAACTCTTGTCGTTATAGTGAATGGTGGGGAATTATAATATGCATAGCATTAGAATCTTTAAATCTGCAGCTATCTTCTCCATCACATGTGAGGCCATCTTCCATGGGCAACGAGGAAACATGCATTTATTATTGGATCTGTAAAGCTCCTGATGGTGAACCTGTTGACTTGTGTATCCCCCCAGAACCAAAATTTGGCCACCTAGTTTCTGAATGCTGTGAAGAGAAATGCCAACTTCAACTGACATTTTATGTGGAGAATCTTTCTAAGACGTGGAAGCCAACAATAAGGAAGTATGGCTGTCGTGTTATATTTAAGGAAGATGCTGAAGATTGGTGCAAGTTTTCAAGACTAACATAACAAATGAATTGAAAGTGAAACAGCCAACTTTTTCTTTTTGGTTGCAGCCATTTGTACTTACCACTTGCTAGTTGCCAGTCACCAAGTCTTTGGTTCAGTTTTCATTATTTGTCACAAAACAATTAATTATTCAGAAGATAAGTTGAGGTAAGTTTATTTTATATATGTAACATTGTGTCAGTTTTGCATCAGTTATCCCCTGCAGGTATAACTTTATAAAAGAAAAATTCCCTTAATAATTGACAAAACACATAAAAATTTACTTGTTTTCTATACAATCAAATTACCTATCCTTATTTCATATCGCCTTCCCTGTGCTTCCAGTTAAAAAATAACACATTACACGTTCAGCAAGATAAATATATAAAGATGTTATTTAAATTTAAGAGAATCATAAAAAACAAAACAGTAAGGAAAAATATTTATTCGATCTAATTATTGATTTCTAGAAATGTTAAATTGAAGCTGGGAAATAATCTTAAGTGCTCTCAAAGAGCCTAAATTACTTACTGGCCCAAACTACCTTTATGTTTTCGACAAGCTTGGGTGCCTGTCATGGCCATTCCCTCTCGATTAGATGATGATGCCACATACAAACAAGTTGTATCAATGCTTCCTATATGATACTTCACTGTGCGTTCCCCCTTCACTCCCCTCGAAAAAAACAAGGAATAAAGGCAGAAGAATAATGCCTAACCACTCAAGAAAAATGATTAAGATAGATTAAGTGTGTATTTGTATTTACGTAGAAAGATTACAGAATCATATTTATTTTATTGTAACCTAATTTTGTAGGACTTTTTTCCTTTTGGTTATTTGGCTGCATTTAATTTAAATAAGCTTATATTTGGATTAACAAGTAAATTGTGTTAAATTAAAAAATTTATATTAAATTTTGTTGTAAAATTACTTTTAAAAAATGAATATAAATAAGGATGACTGTAAACTCACTTTTAAAAAAATAATTTTATAAGCATCCGCCCAAACACATACACTTAAGGCAACGAAAAAGATTTTCAGAATCTAAAAACATCGAAGACAAAAATAAAAAATAAAGCCTCACGATATTCATTTATCGTACGGTCAATGCATTTCACACGTACCTACACGGTTAATACATACTAATCAAAATATTTTCTAGGAGAAAACTTTCCTGAATAACCATGTTTTCCATATTTTATTAACTGCTTTACACTTTTTATATGCTTTGCAATAATGTTCGACTTTTGGGACTATGTATACCTTTTCGTTTTATTTGGATTGAGAGTGAAATAGAGAGTAAAAAATAGAAAGGAAAAAAAATAAAGAAGAGAGAAATGGAATATAAATAAAGTAAAAAAGGTGTATTTTTTAAATGGATAAAAAATAAAATATTGTTTAAATAAGAAAAAAAAAAGAATAAAAACAAAGAAATAAATTGTATTTTTTTGCTATAGTATATTTCTTAATAAAAATTATTTTAAAATTTTTGTATTAGATAAAATATCAATTAATATAAATATTTAGAAAAAAAAATCCACCCATCCCCGAGTTCCCACACGCTCCCTCCTTCTCTCCCTCTTCACTTTCTCTCTATTTTGAAGGAAAGATTATATAAGCTGAGTTTCACATATTTTTTTATTTTTATTCGAACAAACAATACAAATATTTTACTTCTCTCTTACTTTCATTCATCTTATTTTTTTCCTTTTCTAATTCATTCTAAACGAAAAAATATAAAATAGACACACACACACACAAAAGGGTATGTAATTTTTTATGTCAAAGTCATGGAAACTTTCAATGAAGCCGGCTTCGAGAGTCACTTTCAAAATAATATAATTTTCAGCTGATAACTTGCTTGCATAACCACTGTTTACCCATTCCCGTTTTCAATCACCTCTTTGGTCGGTCGTTGCATTTAATATAATTTAGTATACGTTTCCCTTTTTTGCGTAGTTTTTAAATATAAAGAATGCATGCAATAAAACAATTGATATGTCACTAGCACAAGTTAAAAATTACTTTTTATAATTCTTATCTTTGTTCATTTATACTTACATCAGCATATATTCAAAAGAAAGTCAGATACAGAATATCAAGCATCCATCAATATTCAACCCTTATCAACGGGTTGAGTTACGCTACTTGTTCCTATCATGACCTAACCATCGATTTAAAAAACCTTACTCAGTTACTTATCAATTATCTGTAACTTGCTAGTGTTTTTACGAGCAAAGTCCAATTGCATCTTACATAATTATACAATAATTTGAAGAATAAAGCCTGGTGTATGATGTATTCCCAAAAGAAGCATATGCAGGCGTCTTCTTTTACATATATTTCAGTTGTTTCACTTTGATGATTGCACAACAATTAATCAAACTATAGTCATCTCCATAGCTTCAATGTCACGTGGAGAATCTTCCTCAAACTCTTGTAATGCACCATGGCGATGGACATACCATATTTTCTTGAGTTTTAGAGGAGCAGACACACGTTTAGATTTCATAGATCATTTATATGCTGCGTTGGTGAGAAAGGGAATCATAACTTTTAGAGACGATAAGCAGCTTGAGAAAGGTGATGTGATTTCTCAAGAACTCCTTAGAGCAATCGAGGAGTCACTCGGTGCCATTGTTATTCTCTCCAAGAACTATGCTTCTTCTTCTTGGTGTTTGGATGAGCTCCAAACAATTATTGAATCAAAAAGAGTGTTGAACAGCGAGGTTTTTCCAGTCTTCTATGATGTCACTCCCTATGACGTTATGCACCAGACAAGGAGTTTTGCTGAGGCTTTCAAGAAACATGAAATAAGATACGAGAAAGACAAGGGAAAGGTGCAAAAATGGAGAGATGCCTTGAAGGAAGTTGCCAACATTTCTGAGAGGAAATTCAAGAATCGGTGAGTTTTGCTGCATTGATATTTTTTGGAAAAAAAAATATATAGTAAAATGAGTGGAGAGAAAAGCAATAGACATAGCACGTGATATGATATAGTACAAAAAATGAGAAATTTTAAATAAATATTGATACTGTTAAGTTATTAATTTATTAATAAGAATTATAATTTTTGTTCCAGGAATGATACTAAAAATTTAGGTCAAATTATTTTGTAGGTTTTTCAACTATTAGGGAAATTTTGAATCAGATTTTGTATTTTAAAATTTTGTTAAGTAAATCTATGAATATTCATCGCCCTTAGCTACTCAAGCTTAGAAAAAAAAAAAAAAAAACCACAACAAATAACCCTTTCTTCACCTTTTTCAACAACACACAACAAAAGTTAATGAGGGAGGTTGAACTATGACTTATGTTAACGATGAGAAAGAGTATATAACTACAAAATAAAACAAGATAATATTTTGAGACACTAGCAATCGCCACTGTTTTCTAACTGCCTTCCTGCTATCTTTACATCTCTTGCAAATTCGCATAATAAGCTACTCATAATATTACCACTTTTTCACCAACAAAGTTGAAAATCCAATTTCCAAAGGAAAAGACAATTTTGCATAGACAAACTTATAAAGCCTCATCCCAAACACAAGCCAACTTTTGCATGATGAAAAGTAGTAAACCATTATCCTTAATTAAGACCAACAGCCTTATGCGGTTAAGCTACACTCTATTCATTGGGTGATTACGATCGCAATCACATTGATATATTTTGTAGATAAAACTCCCTCGAACTTCTATAAATCTTGTGGTACTAGGCTCAATTATATAAGTTGATGAACAGCTGCTCCAAAAAATCAAAGATATTTATGAAACCCGTAATCGAAATGGTTGCATAATCTGATACCAAGTTCATAGGCTTGTGCTCCAAAAAAGAATCTACACGAAGGTGACTTTTGTTGGTAAGATTCTTATAATCCAATCAGTGTATATATTGTTTTTAGTGAAACAAACATATGACACCTGGTAATATGTTTCTTTTAAATTTCTATTGATACCTAAATTATAACATGATTATACTTTACCAATCCATAGGAATCAAACAGAGCTCATTGAAAATATTGTTGAATCGGTATGGACAAAACTACGTCCTAAAATGCCATCTTTCAATGATGGGCTAGTTGGCATTGACTCAAGAGTTAGAAAATTGGATTCACTTTTAAGGACAAAATTGGAGGATGTTCTCTTTATCGGAATATGGGGGATTGGTGGCATTGGAAAGACAACATTAGCAAGAGTTGTCTTTAAGAAAATCCAGAGTCAATTTGAGATTAGTTGCTTTCTTGACAATGTCAGAGAGATTTCTGGAGAAACAGATGGTATGCTTCGCTTACAAAGAAAAATTCTTTCTCATTTGGAAATAAAAGGCTTAGAAATTAAAGATTTGGACGAAGGTAAAAACACAATCAGAAACCTTTTATTCAAAAGGAAAGTTCTCCTTGTGGTTGATGATGCTAATGACATAAGCCAACTAGAGAATTTAGCTGAGAGGCATAAGTGGTTTGGCCCTGGGAGCAGAGTTATAGTAACAACAAGAGAAAAAGATGTATTAATATCACATGGAATAGTTGAAAGTTATGAAATTGACTTCTTAAATTCAGAAGAATCCCTTCAACTCTTGAGTCAGAAAGCCTTCAAAAGAGATCAACCTCGAGAGCATTATTTGGAGTTGTCAAAAGCTGTTGTTAACTATGCTGGAGGCCTTCCTTTGGCCTTGAATTTGTTGGGTTCATTTCTTTGTGGAAGAAGTGAATCCCAATGGAAAGAAGTTGTGGGTATGATAAATGAAGTCCCAGCCAATCACATTGTGATGAAATCACTTAGAATAAGCTACAATGGGTTGCCAATACGTTACAAGGCTTTATTTCTTGATATGGCATGTTTCTTCAAAGACTGGGTAAAAGAGCTTGCGACACAAGCGCTAGAAATTTGTGACCGGTATCCACCAATTGGAATTGAACTTCTAATCGAAAAGGCATTGCTAAATCATGATGGATTTCGTTTGGGGATGCATGATTTGCTTCAAGAAATGGGAAGGGAAATCGTTTTAGAAGAATGTCACATAGATGCCAGCAAACGTAGTAGACTGTGGTCTCTAGAAGACATTAATCATGTATTAAAATACAATAAGGTAAGATTTTTTTTACTCTAATGTTAAGTTCATTATATCTTAGTTTCATATCACGTCTTAATTTTATCTGCACTATTCTTTGTTAGGCAAATGAATCGATTGAAGGTGTAGTATTGAACTCACACAAGAGTCCGTACGAAGCAATTTGGGATCCCGAAGCATTCTCAAGGATTTATAATCTTAAATTACTTATCATAAATTTTCATATACGACTTCCTCGTGGCCTAAAATGTCTTAGCAGGTCATTGAAATATCTTCTGTGGACGGAGTATTCTTTGGAAGCTCTGCCCCTTGGATTGCAGCTAGATGAACTTGTAGAGTTGAAATTGTATAACAGCAAAATAAGAAAGATTTGGAATGAAAATCAAGTACGTAGCTCAATTATGATCATGTGTATTTGATTTAATAGTTATTTAAAATCTTCAAAAGTAAATGTTTTTTGTTCTGATTGGTCAGTTTTTTGCAAAGCTGAAGTTCATTGATCTAAGCTTTTCTAAAGATCTTATTCACTCTCCAATAGTTTCTGGGGCTCCATGTCTTGAAAGATTGCTTCTTATAGGCTGTATAAACCTTATTGAGGTTCATCAATCTGTTGGACAGCACAAGAAGCTTGTTGTGTTGTACTTGAAAGGCTGCATAAATCTTCAAACCTTTCCAAGAAGATTTGAAATGGATTCTTTGGAGGAATTAAGTCTTTCAGGGTGCTCAAAGGTCAAAAAGCTCCCAGAGTTTGGAAAGAACATGAAATGCTTATCGCTGCTTAATTTGGAGAATTGCAAAAATCTTCTTTGCCTACCAAATTCCATTTGCAATCTGAAATCTCTTAGAAAACTCTATATATCTGGCTGTTCAAAATTTTCTAGGCTTCCTGATGGAATGAATGAAAATGAGTCTTTGGAGGAGCTTGATGTGAGTGGCACAGCTGTAAGACAAATCACTTTATCCAAAGTTCGTTTAGAAAATCTTAAAGAGCTCTCCTTTGGTGGAAGGAAAGTAGCACCCAACTCAGGGAATTTACTTCTATGGATCACAAAGTTTAAGAGGCAACAAGAAACAACGGAGTTGATATTGCCACCTCTCTCCAGATTTTTTGCCTTAACATTCTTGGATTTAAGTTACTGCAACCTTACTGATAACTCAATTGTTCATGATCTTGGTTCTTTACCATTGTTGCAAGGCTTAGATTTAAGTGGGAACTATTTTGTTAACCCACCTGCTCAGTGCATTACTAATCTTTCTATGTTGGAGACTTTGTCCTTCACTAATTGCCTTAGACTTGAGTCGTTGCCTATGCTTCCACCAAATATACAAGCCTTATTTACAAATAATTGCCCTAAAATGAAACCCTTAAATTTGGATGAACAAATGCTATGGAAGATATTTGAGTCGCATTCAAATATGGATCCGGTATGTTTGTTGTACACTCCATCCTCTTTCCCTCTCTCTCCAATGGTTCTGTTTTATTTGTAATAACTGGTTAAATTTCCTTGCAACAGATTGAAGGTCCAGATCCTTGGTTCGTCATACCAGGGAATGAAATTCCATCATGGTTTAACAATCAAGAGTGGTTTTCAATTGATTCGTTTACATCAATTACAGTGGATGTACCAAATCACTATCAGGCAAGTGAATGGTGGGGCATTGCGGTATGCCTAGCATTAGAACCTTTAAATGTGGTGTCATCTCCATCTTATGTGACGCCAATTTCCACACATAATAAGGAAATGTGCATTTATTATTGGGTCTGCAAAGCTCCTGATAGAGAACCTGATCCTAAATTTCCTATAGCATCCAAATATGGGCATTTGGTTTATGAATTCAATGATCCTTACATCCATATTATATTCTTGAGTGGTGATCATGTATATATTCAACATTATCTAAGTGGCGAGCAAAACAACCTTCAATTGATATTTTACGTGGAAAATCTTTCTGAATCATGCAAGGCTACAATAAAGAAATGTGGGTGTCGTGTGATATGTAAGGAAGATATTGAAAATTGGCACAACCACTCATATGATCTTCACATATCAAGATTAACAGAAACGGAAGACGATGAGAGATGCAGTCATGTGCTGGAGCTGGAAGAACCTTCTTCAAATACACATCTTCTTCAAAGGACAGAACTACAGTGACACTACCCTTGGTAACTAATATCCCCACACCACATGTTTATACTTTTGTTTCATTCGGATTCTGTAGTTAATGTTGCTTATTTTGTTATATAAAACCTTTCAAAGAAAGCACTGCTTATTATACTGTGAGCAAAACACTCGGTATTATGTACTATCAATCAGGTATAACTTATTTTACTTATCCATGATCAAATATCACGATTCGATATTACCGTGACTTTAGCTTAAATTTGCCAAAAAATGTTGCCGACGATCAACATAACCCTTTGGCATTTGTGAATATACCATGTAATCAAAGCTTCCATCAAACTAATTTTGTTAAACAACGTCCACTAAATGCATGTTTTATTTCACGTTTGGTGTGTCATTGATCATTGGTTCGTGTTTACTTTAATGCTACTAATGTTAAGTTTTACGTTGTTCCATGTTTATTTTTTAACATGTTTTCAAACACACTAAATAATGCATATTACATGTACGTGTGTAACAGAGACACGTTAGCGAATGCGTTGTTTCTGCAGGACTTGGGAGGGAGCTGTGGCTGGGGGCGGGTCCTAGTGGCTTTCAATATTTTCTTTCTCTTTCTAATGATGTCTTATTATTGGTTCTTTCTAATCAATACTTTTCAGTATTTTACATTTTTTTTTTTGGTTATAAAAACTATATGACAAAATATGGAAAATATAAAGTCAACAGTGGAAGCGTTCCATTGGAGTTTGATTGGTAATTTTGACAAGCCAATTAAACTGTTCATAATTTCGCTGAAATCCCAAACCTGTCATTTTGTTTTGGTTCAAAATTCCCAATTTGATAAAAAGACCGCTTTAGGAGGAAATGAATCCTATGGATCCAAACCCATGATTTTGACCGTTCTGGTTGACCTGATGATAGTGATAATGGACTTAACCTCTAAAACCCAAATTAGTGAAACCCAAAGGCCTCATCATGTTACAAAAACGCATGTTATCCAAAAACTGCACATTTTAATTATAAATGGCCAAATCATCTCTCACTAGGACATGACAGAATCTGAAACCACAAGATGGGATCTAAGATCTGTTGTTGCTGTCAAAAAGATCATGCAAGCCTGGATATCATTGCATAATTCCCAATATGATAATGTTCACCGATACGTACTCTAATTAGACTCGCAGCAGCAAGCAACCGTGGCACAAGACAATGCCCATAAATGAATGTTTGGAATAACTGCCAAGAACCATAGAGCATGTGACTAAGTGATAAATGACAATTTTAGGGTCGCAGTTCAATAGAGAATCTGACTTCTGCAACAGAGCTCGTGCTTGAAGCTTCAAGATAGCCCGACACATCAGGTGGTGCATCACCCACAATTGTACCCTTTCTATGAAACGTGCCTTTTCATCCTTTTGTTACATTCTAATTACCTTTATGTTTTAAGTGAATCATATTGTTGTTAAATCTAGCGAACCACGTAGCATGTGGATGAAAAAAACTTGTTTTTTATATCATTTTCCAACTAAAAACTTAACTCAATAAATAGAAAAGGCATCAAGTAACATGATAAAAGCCCTCCTTTTTCTAGTTGGCCGAGTTACATGGTTTGTTTTAAATGATACTGGCATTTGAGAACTATAAAAGATTCTGTCAATGGATTACGTCATCTATGTATGGTACCGGATAATATATATGTTAAATTGTATTGAATTGGGTAATTTTTAATTAAAAATATTATATATAAATTTTTATTGCGCATAGTGTTGTTCAAATAAATAAAAAAATAAACCATAGATAATCATCCAATGAAGACTTTTTTACAAACCAGAATGTGAAGACTGAAGATGTACCTAATATGTAACAGTTCCCACTAAATAGTAAATACAAAATTGTAATAAAAAGTTACTACTTTTAAACATTACTAACACAGTTGCTTGCATATATATCAAGGTATATAACGTCATAAGATAACTGTAAGAACCTTTAGTCACATGGGTGTTCAACACTCTGGGCCCGGCCAGGGATAAGGGAAAAGTGTATATATAATTATACATAATTAAAGAAGGTGCACTTTTAGGTTGTCAAATTGCTAGTATCATGCGGAGAATGTCATGTATAATTTATAGCCATCTTTTGGACGTCTTTGTCTTTGAAATTTGTTGCCATTAGCTACTGTAGCACCCCAAGATGCGAATTCAGTTTTCATCTTCCTTCACTTAATAAAAAAAATTGTTTCTTAAGAGTATAATAAACTAGTTTAATATTATTAATTTAACATTAGTTGGCAGGACTATTATAACTATAGTATTTTGGTTGATAATTCTAAAACTATAGTTTGGCCAAAATTTTCCAAGGATAATTCTTTGTCTAAATCATGGGTTTTAAATTTTTTTCAGACTAAATTCTTCCATATGTCAAGTGCTAATTCATCATAAATTAATAAGAGGATATTAAATTTAAACTGTCTAAAATATTGAAGTGCCCATTTAAATGTTAATAAAACAATTTTCCCGAATGAAGTGTGGTTAGGATATTCTATATGCTTATTTTCTTATGAGCCTTTTTATATGTTCATTTTTATAAAGGAAAAAGGAAATTGATTCAATCGAGATCCATATTAACTTTTAGCAGCATTAGTTGAAAATGAACTCTCCAAATCATTAAAACTGCAAGCAGGAATTATTCGGCGTCACCTTTCACTGTTACCTTATCTGCTGAGAGTTAGCCTTTTCTTTTTCTGCGGCTTTTAAGCGAGTTTAAGAGCCCTTGTTCCCATTCACACTTTTTGCCTCGCCGTTCTTACTGTAACCAGATTATTCAATAAGAATTATACGGGTACAATAATATTGTACCCTTTTTTTATGGAAGAAAATGGAGAAATGTGTATGACAAAATGAGTAATATAATGGGAAGAGATAAACAAAATTACTAAAATGAGCGGGCTATAGACAAAGAAGAAATGAGATTATTTAAACGTGTTATCTTATTTCACGATTAAATATCATTGTTCTGATTTGTTATATAGTTTGTACGCGATTTATTTATGTTATTTTTCTCTCATTTGTACATGTTTAACAAAATGGGATGTGGGTGTTCTAGTTTGTGCCTCTTGGCAACCATAAACAGCCCAAATACAAGAATAAAATGGGAACAAAGTCACAGAAAGAGCAAAAAGCACCAAGCCCTTGTTTTATCTGAATGTGTTATATTCGTCGTAGAAATCATCTTTGAATCTTAAATTTCAGCGACAATGCATGTGATCACCACTCGGTTTTTAGTTTACAGAAACACTACTCACTCTTATTTTGACGAGAAAGGCTGCAAAGTGTATCCACACCTAACGGATGTCAATCTTAGCCCCACTCAGACCATTTCCCCGCCCCAGCAAAGTTGAGCCTTTATTCTATTTTTTTATTTATTTATCTTTTTAAAATTTTAAAAATTTCTAACATTTTAAAAATTAATTTAATTTATTTTTCTATGGTGATTTTTTTTTATTAAACTCTTTTACTTATGTATTTAATATTCTTTTACGTCTACTTTTCTTTTGAATGAAATTTGATGGTGTAGTTAACAAATTTTAAATAAAAATTTAATTAATTTAATCCATCAATATTTTAAATAAAAATTAGAACATTCATTTTAAAACGTAAAACTAAAAATTTCCTGAAAAAGAAAATCAACAAAAAATTAAACATTCAATTTTAAAAAATTGAAAGATTAAACTTACATGCAACTCAAGGTAGAGAAGGACGATATAACATAGAACTAAATTTACTGAATGGTTGAGAAACTGCTCTGTAATGATCAGTGGATACAACACATTGAAGTTGCAAGTAATTAAAAGATACCCAAACTGAAAATAGTCTTCATAAGTGCGGTTGAGTTACATTTTAAGTTAAGGAGGGGATTAAAAAGAAAGAAATCTTAAGACATGATAGTGTTATTGCAATTAAATTTTCTTCCTCGAGAGCCGCGATTATCGATGATGAAGTTAATAATTTTCATATAAACCTTGTGAAAAAAAATATAAAAAAGCGTAACCCAATGGAAGTAAAATATATTTCCATAAACTAGAGATGAATGACCAGTACTGGAGTGATGAAGTGCAAGGTGAAAACTTAGATACAATTCTTCAAGGTTAATTTAACTACCCCATTACCAGTTCCCACCAACTGGATGACTAGTCAAATATTATTTAACTAACACAATCCAGAACCCCCAAAAAATCTTTAAACTAATAACTAACGAGTAAGTAAATTGGCCACTTTTCTAGTTGAAACACTGCTCCACCACCACCTTCTCATACTTTACACAAAGCAAAATCACCCACATGCATATCCTCATGCCATTATATGTCAATCCTCTTAGCTTTCAGTATCCAGTAGGAAATTCGCAGCTACCATACCCTGCACAAAAATAAACTCCTTCACAGATGCAAATTTTAATTTCAAACAGATAAAATCCCACCATTAAAAAATAGAAGAAAAATAAAGGACCCTACAAACTAAAACATTTTTCAAAGGCACGAGTAGAATCCAATGTGTCCACACAACCCCATATTTGACTATTGACCGTCTTTACAGGGTACTAATTTTCATCTAATTAGTGTCCACTAGTACCCTTGTCTTGTCCTATGGACTGGGGTTCACCCAAAGTAGTAGTAGTAGTAGTAATAAAAGGTCAAGGTAAACACTGTGGAACCCTAATTAAATGGGCCCCGCGGTACACTCTACCCAATAAAGCTACGCCACGTCGTTATCATAAAAGATTCCCCGGTGCCAACCCTATCACGTGCCTCTTTTACATCCACTGACCTGTCGCGCACCATCACTCACCCCGCTCACGTTAGCAGCCCAGCTCTAAACTACGCCCAATCAGAATCTAGTAAAAATAAACCGAGAAAAAAGGGTAGTTATAGAATACTCACTCGGCGCCTGCGTGACCACGTACGACGTACCCCCGAAATAGCAGCTACCACCCGCGCGTGCCTTCTTCTGATAATAACTGTTGAACGCAAACGAAGCGTGCGCCTCAACCGTGTTAGGATTGTAACACGTGGCGCCAGGTTGAATCGGACGGCAATCAGCACCTCCCTCGCCACAAGCAAAATCTAGAGCCGCTTGCAGCTTCACTTTATCCGCATACGGGTTCGCAACGCACCACGTGTTCCCAGTGGTACTCTTCGAAACACCGCCGCCCCCAACGACGGGAGCGGGCGCCGGAGTGTTCTGCCGCTGGCCACCGCCGCTAACCGGCGACGGACGGTCGTGATAATCCTTGAGCTCCTCTGCCGTTAACGGAATATCGTAAACTTTTCTCTCGTCAGGGTAAAAAAGCCCGAAGTTCCTCTCGGAAGTGGGCCCCGGCTTCTGGTTCTCATTAAAAAGCGCGAACAAATAGACGGTGAGAGCAGCTTTGGGCCTGAGGGGGGTCCCACCACCCGTCAAGATCTTACGGACGAGATTGCCGTTGTAGGCAGCGGCATTCTCTACGCTCGCACCCACTTCATTATTATCTCCCTTAGACGGCCATCCTGTTTCCGTAACAACGATGCTAACGTCGTCGTATTTCAAAGCATTTAGCGCGGCGAAAACGGCGTCGATTTGGGCGTCAAAAAGGTTATAATACCTTAACCCGTTACCCGGATCCACGACACCCGGGTTGTCGCGAAAGAGCGCGTAGTCCAAAGAGATGACGTCAGCGTTGGACTCGTAAGCGAAGAAAGGGTACACGTTTACCATGAGGTAGGACCCGGTTTGGCGGAGAAAATCCAGCATGGGTTTAAAAACGGGTTCAACGAGTTCGGGTCGGAATGACCCGGCGGAAGAAGGGTAAGAGTTTCCGAGAGCGGCAAGGGCAATGGGGGAGGAAACCTTGATGTCGGAGTCGAGGTTGTGTTTAAGGAGTGCTTGGTGGATGTTTTTCATGGCGGGTACGAGGAACTTGGTGGAGTTATGTGAATCGGCGAAGACCTCGTTGCCGACGGCAATGGCTTCGATTTGGGTGTGCGGGTGGTAAGCGGCGACGTTTCTTTCAACCCATGAGAGTGCAAAGGAAGGTGCTTTGGCGGCTGCGAAGAGTTGCTGGTTGGGTAGATCGACCGTGACTTTGATACCGGATCCGGATAGTGCCCGGAGCACTGCCGGGTCGGTGTCGTAGACTTTGACCCGGTTAATGCCCTGAGATTTGAGGAGGTGAACGACCTTCACTGCAGAGGGTAGGTTGTTGGCTACGCGACCGTAGTTAACTCCAATGGAGCCACCATCTGAAACAAAACAATGCAGAATACAACTTGGTTAATGCTTAGCATTACGCAAACAAAACAATAAAAAGAGAGAGAAGAAAGAGGAGGTGGTAGAGGTGAGCATTACCTGTGAGGGTGCTGAGGGTGAGAGAGAGGAAAATGGCGGGGAGGGTGAAGCGGTGCATGCTCTGCTTCTGTGGGTGGAAACAGAGGATGGAAGAGCGTGTGGGAAAGAGTGGTGGGATTGTTTTTACTATGTATTTATGAAGGATGCGTTGTGGTTTGAGGGGAACGAGGTGGTGGTGTTGGGAAGGGTAAGATTGGTAAATGGGTCCCACATCCAGTTGGTGTAAGTGACAGTAACTAAAGGACGAGTAATTATAGGACCACCTTCTGTATCATCCATGCCATCCTCCTCTTCCTAGCAGATACATTCAACTATAATGGAGTTTAACAATAACTTGACGAATCCTTCTTCGGTTCCCTTGGTCCCACCATTATTTTCGTGATCTCTAGCTCTCTAATTTTATTGTTAAATTCATTTTTCATCAAATAATTATGCGTACTTATGGAGTTTAGACCATCACAGGACTACAACAAATATATTTATACACGTTCAAATTATAAAAAATTTGATGCAGATGGCGAATCTCTCACACACATGTATAGTAATTTGCATTTTCATTTAAAATAATATTAAAAACTTCACGTTAAAACAAAAAAAGTTATATGTCCTTGTATTTTTATCAAGATTTTCCCTGTCGTGATTTCTTTTAATAAAGAAACAGCCAAACCAGTGTGCACCGGAAAAAAATAAGGGCAATTTAAGAATAAGAATAAAAATTGAGCATGACGTTTTTGTTCATTAATGTATTAACTTCAAAACCTCATAGGGTATAGTGTTTTGGAGCTGCTATCATGAAAGAACGATAAAAACAAAATCATATTAATTTACTTAAGTTGTCTGAAAGATGATCACATCAAAATTTACGTCTTGGATATGCATGGCAATTCTTCTCTCGAACAGTGTCCTATAGATGTGGTGTGAACCCTTTGCACCGATCTTATTAAACAAATCAAGCCATTATGAAGGAGGGTCGAATACTAGAATACTTGCACATTGTCCTTGGGGACCAATGCCCAAACTTCTTCACCACTTATTTTCCTTGTGAAGTGCATGGAATATGGACAATCCAAAAATACCAACAAAACTTTAATAAGAGAAATTATGTATCATTTAAATCAATTAACCTTGATTAACAACAAGAAAATAGGCATCACTCTTATGAGTTGTTCACCGATTATTTCAATTTTAGCCCAGCTGTTAATTTGAATAAGAGAGAATCAACTGCTATTCAATACAGTTTTAGTTTTAATAAATATTGTATGTTATATAGGCACACAACAAAGACAAGAACGTCATAAAATCTTTAGATTTAACTCTTCTATGGTTAAAAATAAGTAAAATTTAAAAGATAAAATATATTCATAACTGTTAATTATAAAATTAATAGTTGAGAACTCAATAACTTCAAAGCTGATTATAAATGTATTTATATTATATCATATTCTTAACTGTTAATTATTTAACTGCAAATCATATATGAAAATTATTTTTCAACTAAATCTAATTTTTTTTTGCTATACTATAAGCTAATATTCTCTTATTCGCTTACTTTAGAGAAAGGGAAAATGATTTTATCGCAAATGATTCAGCCACACGTGTTTGAACCAAAAGTTATTATCCATTTAGACAGCCCATCATTGCTAATAACTGGGCCGTGCTGCTGCCCAGTATGCCAATTTGGCCCGTTAATTCAGCAGAATCACGATACAAATTGACTGAGAGAAAAAGATGAAAGTCAAAATCAAATTAAAATAAACCCTAATTTGCAGAGAGAAACACAGAGACGAAGGACTATGTCTGGGGCTACGCCCAACTCCCATGCTGAGGAAGACAAGAAGCCCAATGATCAATCAACGGCCGCGCACATCAGTCTGAAGGTCAAAGGCCAGGTTTGTTTGTTTTCACAAATTTCTCGGGTCGATTTCGTACTCTATACGTAGAGAAGAAAAGGAAAAAGTTTATATTTTGAAACAATTTTCTGTTCTTTTGTGAAATTGTGATTTCTGGGTATTCCTTTTAACGTTTGAAAGTTTCCATTTTTGTGTCTGCTCGAGTTCATTTATCCCTTCCGCGTTCTAATTTCGCGCACATCAATCCTAGATATTTTGTTTGGAAATAAGCATTGATATTATTCCTTTGGAGTCTAGGACAACTAGATAAGTAGCTCTTGGATTCTATAGGGTATCTCTTCCTCACTCAAGGCTATTTATCTTCGCAAGATAAAGTTTTGCCGTTTATATTTATGGGGATATTTTCCCTCTAAAATGATTGTTTTGAGTGTTTTTTATGTTTCTGATCTGGTTGAAATGTTGAATGATATGTGAGATGTATGTCTATGGGGAGGCTTTCTCCTCAACTTTATTCTACATGGTTTTACATTTGAAGTCTTTTATTTTTTATTCATTGAACTTTTTCTGCTTTAGGTTATTGTCCCCTACCGTTTTTCGCTGTCATCACTAAACCCCAATCCCCCAAAAATGCATGTGTTATTGAATTTAACTGTTATATCACTTGGTACTTTTTTTTTTCTCTCCATATTTTTTTGTCAAATCGTCGTCTTATTGTGTGCTTAAAGCCATTCAAGCTATGTATTGTACTCAAGCCATAAGAGAACATTTCCCGATTCTCAGAGTTACAAGTTCCTTCAAGCTAACCTTGTTACGGCTTTACCTTATAAATTCGACGCTATGTATTGTATTTTGCCTTTTCATTTTTTATTACATATGTAAATTACTGTAAGTTAAATGAATTAGGACCTAAGTGTTTGGCGTACGTATTATATTTCTTTGAGGGGATGTTTTGCATGTAATATGATGGACATTTGATCCGTTCTACTTTATATTTCCATATGTATGTGATTACTTGTATTTTTAAGTATCACTGTATCCCAATGACCAAGTGGTCTAAGACTGATTCTTATTTGATTGTAGGATGGAAATGAAGTATTCTTTAGGATCAAAAGAAACACTCAACTGAAGAAGCTGATGAATGCATATTGTGATCGACAATCTGTGGACTTGAATTCAATTGCCTTCTTATTTGATGGTCGCCGTCTTCGAGCAGAACAAACTCCTGATGAGGTTTGCCCCTTGCCTTGCCTGTTTCTTGATACTGAAAAGTATATGTAATCATGTATCGTAATCCCACTTGTTTTATGTATATATCTTTCAGCTAGAAATGGAGGATGGGGATGAGATCGATGCCATGTTGCACCAAACTGGTGGAGCCCTGTTAACATAGTGTGAAAATTTGATACATAAGTAGATTAGTTAATCTGATGTATTTAACCTATGGATATACATTATGGGAATTGTGAGACATATCCCCAGTAGAATTTGTTTGAAAAATCTGCCATGCTCTTCAGGAGTTTGGTTGGTTACAACACCTCGAATGAAATGTGCAATCTTATGTTAATAGTTCGATCGTTTGTTCACTATAATGTCTTGGGAGAGCTGTCTATTTTTCATATGTAAGAATTGCTTATGGTGAAGTTGTTTTTCCAATGGGCAAATGTTTTCTCTAATAATGAGTTTGGCTTTAAAATGAACGGGTGAAGTTACATACATACGTATATATATATATATATATATATATATATATATATATAGACCCTACTTGTTGAGCATAAAAAAGAAAGACAAAACTTCAACTTTTAAGAACCGTGGATTATAAGTGCATGCAGTGCAATTGATTTCTGAGGTTTAGAATGCGTGGGATCGTCATGACAAGTATAGAATCCAAGAGTGAAAATAGTACTGAATTTCCTTCAAGTTTATATTTTGTTAATTGACATCTTGAGCTTTGATTTTGTACTAATTTTTATCTCTAATTTTGAAGTTAAAATTAATTGGATACAAAAAGCTAGTACATGACAAGATTTTGTAGGGAGTCCCACGTAGACTGACTCCCCATACCAAAGACCATCATTACATGTCTTAACAAGAGCTTCAGAGCAATGGGCTAAAGTTTTGGCACACCTACTAGAGTGGAAACTTTGGCCCATCACATGTATGTAATTCATTAAAATTAATAAAAATTAGTTTTATATCATAAATTTGTATTTCATTTTAGAAATATTTATAATGTTAAATGGTTAAATGTGTTATATAGTATCCACTTTTATGGATAAAAAAGGAGTACTTCATTAAAACACAATAAACAATAGTATAAACAAACGTACAAAAATTGAGCCTTTGATTTTTATATTTAAAATAAAAAAATATTAATATTTATTTCTTATGAATAAAATCGAAGGTAAGGGTCAGATTCAGTGTCCACTTGCTGTGGGTGGTGATCAAGAAGCAGTTGAATACTCCATGACCCCATCCAAGAGTTAATGCCTTAGTCACTTAAAGTTGATCTTGAGTGGGATGGAGAAGATAACAGGATAGTGACATTTGACTGGTATGATATCCCAAAATTCCTCAAAAACATTTGTTCCATTTGTAAAATATCCAGCATTTATATATCCAATTGCCAAACGACCAAAGGCAAAGAGCTTTCCTCAGAGAACTTTGTTGGCTTGATGGAGGTGGAGTACTTAGTTCCCGAGCTTCATCAAAATTAGTATTTAGCTAGTTCGTTGCAACATGAACCACCAGCTAATTAAAATACTGGAATATCTATTGCACTTCAACTATTTAAATAGAAAACGATCTTTTGAAAGTTTGGGGACCACATTTGTTATAAAATTGAATTTAATTTTGATATATCAATATAAAAAGTTTTACAATGTTAACTAATTAAAATATATAATAGATGACTTATAAATTTGTTGTTACGAAAAATTAATAACTTCTGTTGATATAACAATACATGATTGGATCACTTTTATACTATCAATGCATTCTAATTAAATTTATAAAAATTACAGTAAAAAGGAGCAAAAACAAAAATAAGTTACCATTTTCATTTTGGCGTGTTCAAAACAAAATTTAAAAAATAGGCTTGCAAGATAACATTCTAAAAGCAGCACAAAACTAAATAAGGAGCTGGGAATTAGGATTAGGAGCATTGTTCAATTGATTGTGTTTTTTATTCCCTTCCCAATGGCTAAAGAACTCGATACATAATTCCAAGTGTGCCTTATCACAAACATTGATCCACTGAAACAAATTCATTAGGGACATTCAAAGAGTAAAAAGCACTCATAATTAATACATAATAAAAATAGTAAACACAAACATAATTGGTAATGATAACACAATATTCCTCAAGAGTAATCACCAATTAAGGTTTCAGAACTACAATAGGACTGGTTACTCTGTGCTTGCCATCGGTCCAAGACTAGTTCCCAAATATTGGAAAACCATGACGAGGTACACCCCTTGCCTTCAGAATAACACTAAATTTCTTCTTTTCTGCAATTCTCTTAAAAGTCAACGAACTTGGTCGAACGAGGACCTTAAATCCTTCTAGTTTGTGAGTGCTCACAACATAAGTGCTAGGAGGCCCAACATTTGTAAGTGTACGAGTAACCTTTATAGTGTGTATTCCACCATAAGCTACTGTGATTGATGGATAATTAAGATTTTCAATGTTGAAAGACTTTGGACAATTGTAAGTGCGGTCATTATTAAAGAACTTCAATAAATTTTGGGTGTAACCAGAAGCACAATCAAGTAATCGCTGGTGCTTAGATCATAAACAAGACCAGGGTCCATTGCATGGTTAGGTCGAATATGTCCAGACCCATATTCAAATGGAGTTGCCACTTTATCAAATGTGTCCCGAATTGGTCGGTTTGTGTTATCTAATGTTGTTGCTGCACAAAGAACATAATAATGTTTAGAGTAAATATATAATTTAATCCTGTTTATCTTCCATCTTTTAAAATTTTGGTTTTTAAATCATTTAGAGGATGTTTGATTACTGTTTTAAAATAATTTTCTGTTTACTGTTCTTAAAACAGTAATGAAATATGCTGTTACTTTTTCGTATTTTGAACTTATGAATAAGATAAGAGTATAAACATTATATTTACAAATCAAACTATACCTACGTGTCGTTGTCTATAGGACAAAATACTTTTGAAAAGAGTTACATTATTTTTAATTTTTGGTACATTTATTTTTATATTTTTCTGTTACATACTCATCTTATTTTATATATTTTTTTTCTCCTCATCTTTTTTTGAGTAATAAATGCTAGCATTTTCTTAAAAAAAAATAGATAATCTATTTTTTTATTATGCATTCTAACACATTATTGATTAAGAGTGAAATTTACATAAAATTTGTCTTATACATATTATCTTGATTCAAGTTTTTGAACAAGGCTTTTGATATGTGTGTGTGTGTGTGATGAAAAGAAGGGTAATAATTGTTTAGTATATAGTGTTGGGAACGTACCAGTAGTCATAATGGCTGATTTGATAGCTGCAGGGGTCCAATTAGGATGAAGTGTTTTAAGAAGAGCGGCAACTCCAGCAACGTGAGGGCAGGACATAGATGTTCCCTGTTGTATATTGAAAAGAACACGCCTCTTATCTGATGCTATGTTAGAGGGCCCTGTAGCTGGTGAATACCCCGCTAGTATGTTCACACCAGGACCAGTTATATCAGGCTGAAATATAAAATAACCAACAAAATCAATTAAAGAATCATTAAACCCAAATGTGGAACACAAAATATGGACCTTGAGTATCAATGGTTGCACCGCACTTGGACCCCTGGATGAGAATCCAGCCATTATTGGAGCTGGCTTTACTCCTAAATATGTTTGTGCTGATGTAACGTGAGCTGCAAGTTCCCTGCATTGTATATTTATTAATTAATTTCATCATTTGTTGAGAGCATTTTTAGGATTACATTTGAACGGATTAATGGTATATGATTAATTACCTGCTATTGTTTTTATTGGAACTTTGATAATTGAACGCTTGACTAGCAGCTCTCGGATCCACGTTTACAGCAGTTAAAGGATGAGGCTCAGCCAAGAGCGTTTTTCCACTTTTCTCATCATTCACCACAGCCACTCCCACTGCGCCGGCAAGAGCAGCTTCTTGGCCCTCAGCAATTGATGTTATTTTCTCACGTCGAACGCATATTACTATTTTTCCCCTTACTTTTTTAGGATCAAGTGTTCTAGCCTTGCAAAGACGACTGAAGTATATATATATATATATATATATGAAACACAATGCAAGAAGCAATTAGTAATATTCTAACAACGTAAATGTCTGTAGCAAGTATTTTGGGAAATTTGTGCTAACGCATCTTGAATTGTGGCATTAGGGAGTCTAGCATCGATTGCGTGAATCAACGGATAAAAATTCCCTGATGGCAAGCCTCTATTTAGACTGGCTCCCTGATGAACATACACGCAATCCAATTGGTTTTATTAACATCGGTATCAATTCTTAAGATAATTTGCACCATTTATATTATAGTTATCATGACATCAATATATTTTCTGTGGACTATTAAGAGAAACATGGCGTTACCTGAAGGTAATGTTTGTTACCAACGGAAATGTTGCTGAGAAAATCTCTGTCGATTGTACCAGCAGCCACAGTGAAGGACCAGGGTGCAACATTTGCGACACTCGAAGGTGTTGGACCGTCATTGTCAGCAGAGCAAACAACGAGTATGTTTCTGGCAACAGCATGGAATGCCCCTATGGAAATCCCATCAGTGAATAAGGCTTCAGCAGAGGGATACTTACCCGCAGAGATAGAGATAACATCAACAGCGTCGTGTATGGCATGATCAAATGCTTGTATTATGTCTGCATCATGGCATTGAGGCACATCATTTTTAGACCAACACGTTTTGTAGGCTGCGACTCTTGCTCTTGGGGATCCACCCTTTGCAGTGCCATTCCCATTACCAAACACATTTGCACCAAAAGCAAAATTTCCACCAGCTGTTGACAGCGTGTGGGTACCATGCCCTTCAAAGTCACGTGCAGACCGAAACAATGCCTCAAGTTTCCCATTTTCTGCCTCGTAGTTTTTGCTGAAGAATCTTGCTCCAATTAGCTTCCTGATTCATTATTCCATCAGCAATCAATATTACTTTTCATATATTTTTATTTAATAAAACATACACACATATATATAACAAAAATATTTTATAAACAATAATAATAATAACAATAACAAAAATTATAATAAATCTATGTTTTAATTATGACTTTACTTTCTTAAAAGTTGCACTGGTAACTTTTATTTAGTCAAAATAGTAAAAGCTTTTTAAAAGTTTGAAGAGCTTTGCAATAAGATGCCGAAGTGACACCAATAAATGAATGATAATGTATTTAAAATCATTTTTAAAAATTATAAATTTAGGTTTATTTTGATGTTATTAGTTATAATTTTTGTCATTAAATTGTTTCTATACATTCTTAATTTGTTTCTAAATCTATCTATTAATTATATTTATAAAATTTTAAAAAATTTAAATTTAATTCAAATTAAAAGAGTATTTTAATTAATTCTCAGCTGTATAGACTAAGTTGTATTCTAATTTTTGAATGATTGGCTCCTTACTTTGAGTTCTTGCTTTTGGTGATGTTGAAAGGTGTTCCTCCCTTAGCTGTCTTCTAATCTCCGATCAGGCGTCCTGCTGCTGATTTGATGATAGGGAGAATACCTGCAAAAGGTACTCCGATGATAAAGTCAGGATTCGGTTCTGAACAATAAATGTTATTTAATGATCTGAAGTCAACCACTAACCTGTATTTCTTATCTTCTTTTTATAGACATTCTTTTGGGCTAATGGGCCTGAGTCAATTTTTATATTTGAGGCCCATAGTATTTTTGATTATCTTTAATTTGGATTATTTACCTTTTAATCCTGACTAGGGGTACCGGCCTAGTATGCCGAGTAGGTATTCGGTTTCTTTTTGCTGATGGTGGAACCGAGTTGATTCCTTTCCCAGTACACTAGCCCCTCAAGCCCGACGAGTTGCGAAGCAAGGGCTTTAAAAAATGGAGATGGTAATATAGGTATCCGGTTGGAGTGCTTTTTATTGTACTGAGGGGGTCATCGTGGGGGTGTCCGGTCTCAATTGATGGTAACGTTTGATTTATTAATTTACACTGAGGAGTAGTCGGTTTAGTAACAATACGATATAGGCCGAGATTATAAATTTGCTGAGGAATATTCTAGAATGTTGGTTTTGAGGATTTGTCAGAGGGGATGTGAAACGAAGGGGTGCTCCATCTCCTCCGTTGATCTGGAAGGGATCTGATGGTTTAAAACGAAAGGGCGTCTTTTCGTTTGCCCGACATCAGTCCCTTATAAATATGTGGTGGTCCCTCATCCCTTTCTTACTCTTTTGCTCTGTGCCGAACCCTGCATATCTTTGCTCCAAACCGACTAGTGTTCAGAGATCCTAGGCTTTTCTTCTCTACCGACTACTAGCAAGGTGCGTTTCATTTTTTTCTTAACTTCTTTTCTATCATGGCTGATCGTATTGAGTGGGAGGATTCCTTGTCGGATGTCTCGGGGCCGGGTACCATTGAGGTTGATATTATGAATGGAACCGAGGGGAGTGGCGAGGTTTCGTCTATTTCAAACCGGAGGGCTGAAGAGGCACAAGTCGGCGAAGGCAGTAGCGAAGCCGAGACCTCATCGTCCAGTGATACTGACGCTTCTGAACCTCTTCCAAGCACTAGTCCTCCTCGGGAAAGGCAGGTGTTTCCTCCCTGCACGGTGCCTGGTTATGAGTGGGTACACGGTGAAGTGGCCGCCTACTTTTCTAGTTTCAAAAGAAATAAAAGTCTTCAATTTTTTGTAAATAATTGTGATATTTCTTTATGGGAGGCTTGTGACCCGTATCCTATACACCTTGATCCCTGTCAGGGGGACGAGGGCGAGAACCCAGACTTTGTTTTCTTGGGAGGTGTCGGAATGGCCGACACCTTCTTTATGTATGAATACATGTTTAGGGAATTAGGTATCAGGCTCCCTTTTGACGATTTCCAAATGGGGGTTTTGAGGGTATTGAATGTAGCGCCAACACAACTACATCCGAACGGGTGGGCGGCAATTCAAGCCTTTAGAATACTTTGTAAATTCCATTATATAGAGCCTAGTGTAGGTCTTTTTCTTCATTTTTTTTGTACGCGTCCATCCGACCTGGCGAGGTGGGTTTCTCTAATAAGGCAACCCGAGTTGCCCCTCTTTAAGCCATACGCGTCGTCTTTTAAGGGTTTCAAAACCGGTTTCTTCAAGGTAACCGTGAACCCTGTAGGTAAAAATTATTTTTTTGATAGCGAGGGCAATCCCCTATTTCCTTTTCACTGGACTCGGGTGCCGCGCCGATACGACACATACCCTGAGGATATGTTATCGGCTAGGGAGCTGTCGGATTTGCAATTCTTGAAGTCCCTTCCCCGGGACATTCCTGCCCGACATGTAGTCCTCGTTCTCAAGTCTCCGCGTCCTCGGTGGGATATGGAGGGTATGTGTTATTTCGTTTCTGACTTGTATTTGGAATTGAGCTATATTGATTTGACTTGCTATTGTTAATGCAGGTTTAATGGCTCAAAGAGGTGTGGATGTGCCGACCTTCCGGCGTACTTTGAAACAGAGAATGCCCGAAGGGACGCCCGTTGAGGAGCACCGTCTTCCTCAAATCGACCAACTTCCCGAGATGACGGAACCTCGCCCTCCTCCCCAAGATTTTGTTCCAGCCGAAGGCCCTTCCAAGAAACGCAAGGAAAAGGGCAAAAGCAAGGAGCCCGAAAGGGAGAGGAAGAGGCGACACGCCCACTCGGGTGAGCCTAGCGGCGTTCAAGGGGCTCGGAGTCAGACCCGAGTGGTAGCTGCTGGGGAGGGAAGCAGTTCTCCCGTAGTTCCCTTGGACATGCTGGCCGAGGGGTTCTTGGCAAGTGGGACACACGCTGGTCGGCTTGCTGCTCCAAACCTGTTATCTGATGCAGGGAAGGAACTGGTCGGCGGTTTGGACTATGAGTCTTTGTGGCGCTACTACGCAGAACTTCATGTACGGTCCACCGCAATGCTCCGAAGGCTAGTTGTGGATCTCATTCTCGAAGTTAAGAAGTTGAAGGCCGCCCATTCGGTTTCTGAAGAGGCTTTGGCCGAGAGTAGAGAGATTCAAGCTAGCCTGGACGAGACCGTTCAATCCCTACAGGGTCAGGTTAATCAATACAAAGAGCACTTTCAAATAATGGAGGACCGAGTACATGCGGCCGAGGAGGTGGCGAGGGTCCGGGGGGAGGAGATGAAGGTGTTAAAGGCAAAGTCTTGTCAAATGGAAGAGGCTTTACGGGCCAAATCTGCCGAGATGGAAGAAGCCCTGGCGCTGGAGAGGCAAAAGGCTGAAACTGAGATGAGAAACTTTGCTGAGAAGTGTTCTCAGCAAGTATCTTACGAGCATGAAGCCGGTTTTAACCACGCTATTCGACAGTGTCATGGGTTCTGCCAAGTACCGGTAGGCTTTCATTTTGACATTACAAAGGACTTTTTCGGCGGGAGGTTCATTCCTTACACCGAGGTTGAGGATGATGTAGAACCCGACGTCGAAGTGCCGAGACGTCTCCCTGAGGTTACCGCCAACCCTGAGGTGGCCGCTCCCGAGGCGGTAGAGAGAATAGAGAGTTAAATTACTCTCCCTTTGTATTCATGGGCCATTAGTGCCTACATTTTGTAACCTGTTTTTTGTTTGAAATAGAATTTATCATTTTTTCTCATGCTTTGTATTTTGTCACGCAACTTGTCCTAACAACATTTACGATATGCTTAATATTATCATACTTAGCCAAATAACTTGCATACGATTTACCCTTAATATACTCATTTTTAGCCGAATAGGGGACGAGGAGATAATCTCGTTTTTTAAAAATTTAGCTTTAACCAAATGGTAACTAAGAACTCCTCCTAATTTGTTAATTTTGACGAGCGAGAGAGTATTCGGGATTGAGATATGTTGACCTTTAGTAGAGATGCTTGAAAGAAAAATAATTCACACTTGACCGAATGGGGGTACTCGGCAGGGGAATATAATTGCTGCATCCTTGACCGAGTGGGGTACTCGGGAGGGAAACCATTCAACCTTGGCCAAGTGAAAACTTGGGAGGGAATGGTGTTATCTCATCCTTGACCGAGTGAGGGTACTCGGCAGGGGAATATAATTGCTGCATCCTTGACCGAGTGGGGTACTCGGGAGGGAAACCATTCAACCTTGGCCAAGTGAAAACTTGGGAGGGAATGGTGTTATCTCATCCTTGACCGAGTGAGGGTACTCGGCAGGGGAATATAATTGCTGCATCCTTGACCGAGTGGGGTACTCAGGAGGGAAACCATTCAACCTTGGCCAAGTGAAAACTTGGGAGGGAATGGTGTTTGAAAAATATATAATGCGCAAAAAACCGTATAGGTGAAGAAAGAGAAATTTTATTGATTAGGTGCCTCGTTAAAAACCTTCTCAGGAAAACCTCTTTTCACTTTTTTTAAGAGGATAAAACCTGGGATAGGAAAAGAGTACACCTGTGCACGTATTACAAGGTTTTAGCTATAATAATGCTTTAAATGAGTGACATTCTAGGTTCTTGGTATTAATTTTCCTGCCAGGGTTTCCAATTTGTATGCTCCATTATTTAATCTTGCTGCTACTCGAAAAGGGCCTTCCCAGTTGGCTGCCAACTTCCCTTCTTGTCGATCCTTGCGCGCGTCCCCAGTTACTCGCCATACTAGGTCGTTTTTGTAGAATTGTCGTGGACTTATTTTGGAGTTGAATTTTCTAGCCATCATTCTTTTACTAGCCTCAGTCATGATGGCAGCGTGGTCACGGACCTCATCTATCAAGTCCAGGTTAACGGCCAGAGCCTCTTCATTGGCCGATTCCTTGAAATTCTCTCTCCTGAATGACGGCTCTCCAATTTCTACCGGTACCATGGCATCAGTACCATATGTAAGCCTAAAGGGGGTTTCTTTTGTTGTGGTCTGCGGCGTGCACCGATAGGCCCATAAAATCTCAGGTAGCTTCTCTGCCCATTCTCCCTTTGCCGAACCTAACCTCCTTTTTAATTCATGCAAGATCACTTTGTTGGCAGCCTCGGCTTGGCCATTCGTCTGCGGATGTTCAACAGATGTAACTCTATGTTTGATATGCAGGCCAGCCAAGAACTCGTTGAATCTTCGATTTGCAAACTGAAGCCCATTATCTGTAATCAGTGCATGAGGGAGACCGAACCGTGTTATGATGTTTTTCCAAGTGAATTTTTGCACGTTATGGGCCGTGATTGATGCTAGGGGTTCGGCCTCAATCCATTTGGTAAAGTAGTCCACGGCGACGAGAAGGAATTTACATTGCCCTTTTGCCAAGGGGAATGGGCCGAGGAGGTCCATTCCCCAAATAGCGAAGGGCCAAGGAGCGATAATGTGCCGAAGGGTATCGGCGTGTTGGCGCAGGTGAGGGCCGTGTTGTTGACAAGGAATGCATCTTTTTACAAACAATTGACAGTCTTGAGTTATTGTTGGCCAGTAGTATCCGGCCCTGAGCACTTTGGCTGCCATAGTTCGTCCGCCCGAATGGGTTCCACAAATACCTTCATGGATTTCTCTCATCACGTACTTAGCTTGATCGTCTTCTAGGCATTTAAGCATGGGGGTGGAAATTCCTCTTCGATACAATTCTTTACCGAGAAGAAGGTATTTGGCTGCATGTGCTTTAATTTTCCTAGCTGCTGCTGCGTCCTGTGGGAGACTGCCATCAGTGAGGTATTGGACCAGGGGGGTCATCCAATTATGGGATGAATTTTCTATGTCCATGCATTCTCGCTTGGTAATACTAGGTTGGGGGATTTGTTGGTGAACCATGCTCTGCAGCTGCCCTGGTTTCCGTTGGCTAGCCAGCCTAGCTAGCCTGTCGGCTCGTGCGTTCATATTTCGAGGTGTGTACCGAATGCATACCTCCTCAAACTCGGTTTTTATTTTCTTAACCTCCTGGTAATATTTAAGCATGACCGAGTCCCTGATCTGATAGGTATCATTTACTTGTTCGGTTACAACTTTTGAATCACTCCAAGCAGTAATGCGTTTAACCCCCATTTCCCTTGCTAGTCTGAGACCGGCGAGTAAAGCTTCATATTCGGCTTGATTGTTGGATGCCTTAAATCCGAACCGGATAGACTGTTCAATGGCGAACGCATTTGGTCCTTCAAGAATGACCCCCGCTCCACTGCCTGATTGATTTGATGATCCATCAACGTGTAGGTTCCACATGTCTGAAATGGTATTATGTTGTGTCGTAAACTCGTTGATGAAGTCGGCTAATAGCTGGGCTTTAAGGGGGCGTCGGTTCTCGAAATGGATGTCATATTGGGATAATTCAATTGTCCATGTCACCAACCGACCAGCCAATTCTGGTTTTCTCAAAATTTTGGCCATCGGACAATCTGTACGGACTATCATTTGATGGCTCTGGAAGTAGTACCTTAACCTACGAGCTGTGTGGACTAAGGCAAGTACCACTTTCTCCACTAACTGGTACCGAGATTCAGGACCCTGAAGTGTCCTGCTAACGAAATATACGGGGTTCGGTTCGGGTGTTTCTTGAAGTAAGACCGAACTGACGGCGTGATCGGACACGGACAAATAAACAATCATTTCCAGATTCGAAATTGGTTTAATCAACGCAGGTGGTGTGGCCAGCATATGCTTGTACTGTACAAAGGCGTCCTCACATTCATTGGTCCATGCAAATTTTTACGATTTCTTCAACAATTCAATGAAAGGCCGAGACCTTTCTGCCATTATTGGCAAGAATCTAGCCAGGGCTGCAATCCGCCCGGTCAGTCGTTGCACGTCCTTGATATTGCGAGGGCTGGCCATGTCGATGATGGCTTTACATTTGTCGGGATTTGCCTCAATTCCCCTTTCGGACAACATGAAGCCCAGGAATTTACCGCCAGCTACACCAAATGTACATTTTTCAGGATTGAACCTCATACCATGTTTTCTGGCTTCTCTGAATACCTCCTTTAAGTGGTCAAGATGTTGCTTTAATGCAAGGGATTTAATTACCATGTCGTCTACATACACTTCCATGCATTTACCCACTTGTTTTTCAAAAATTTTGTTCATAAGTCGCTGGTAGGTTGCTCCTGCGTTCTTCAACCCGAACGGCATCACCCGATAACAATAATTTGCAGAATTTGTGATGAATGCTGTTTTTTCCTCATCGGGGGGTACATTCGTATTTGATTGTACCCAGAATAAGCATCTAAAAAGCTCAGTATTTTGTGACCGGCAGCACCATCAACCAAGGTGTCAATGTTTGGTAGGGGGTATGCGTCTTTTGGGCATGCTTTATTGAGGTCCGTGAAGTCCGTGCACATTCGCCACTTGCCATTGGCTTTTTTGACCATGACAATGTTGGCTAACCATGTTGAATACCTGACCTCTCGGATGAAACCGGCCTGTATTAGTTTGTTGGTTTCTTCTCTTACCGCCTTTGCTCTATCACCACCAATTTTTCTCCTTTTTTGAGCTACCGGTTTGGCCCCTTTATAGACCGATAAGTGGTGGCATAGGAATGCTGGATCAATGCCAGGCATATCCGAGGCTGTCCAGGCAAACAAGTCGGCATTATCTACCAGCATCTTTTGGAGAACGGCTTTCTCTTGCTCGTTCAAACCGATCCCCAAATACGCAATTTGTTCTGGCCTTGTTCCTAGTTGGAAAGATTGTTTGTTTTCATTGGGCTCGACTCGGTATTCCTCATCCACTCTAGGATCGAGTTCAACATCCAACTCTTCTTCCAACCGAGGGGATACAATATTGACATCCCGGGTATTCCCCTGAAAGGGTTTAAGACGTAAACTTGCGAAGTAACATTCCCTAGCTGTTTTTTGATCGGCATGGACGGTAACAATTCGGCCTCTTTCAGACGGAAATTTCATGGCCAAGTGCGGAGTGGAAACTATGGCCTTCAATTTGTTCAGGGACGGTCTACCGAGTAGTATATTATAAGATGTGTTCGCATGTACTACAAGATAAGTGACTCTTATGCGTTTGCCCTCGTGCTCTGATCCAAATGTCGTATACAAGTCGATACACCCCTTGGTCTCTACTCGTTCCCCGGAAAAACCGACCAACGGCTCCTGATATTCCTTGAGTTCTTGTTCTGAGATGCCTAATTGCTTGAATGTATTCCAGTATAGGATATCAGCCGAGCTCCCTTGGTCTATTAGCGTTTTTCGGACAGTGCAGTTAAGAATGTCTACACTAATTACCATGAGATCATCCTGTACTGGGTCGACTCCTTGAAAGTCGTCGTCAGTGAACATAATAGGCGGGATTCGGATCTTGCTGCCCAATGAAACATTATTCACAGAACGGACATTCCGAAGATGCCTCTTCCTAGCCGAATGGGTAGATCCTCCACCAGCGAACCCTCCGGCTATGGTGTTAATGACCCTCTTCGGATATTTATCTTGTTCATATCTTCTTGGTGGGGGCTCCCTGGACTTGCTCCTGGGCCGTTCAAATTTTTTGGCATCGGATCTCTTTGGTGAATCGGGGTGGCTGTTTCTTCCTTTGTTGTATTGCCTTGCGGGATCTGTCTGTACAAAATTTTTCAGGTGTCCATCTTTGATCAATTCTTCAATTTTGTCTCTTAACGCCGCACACTCCTCGGTAGTGTGACCCCTGTTCTGATGATACCGGCAAGACTTGCTTTTATCCGCCCGAGGAGGGGTGTTAGCACGTCTAGGCATTCTCAATATCTCTGTGGCCAACGCTTGGTCAAGTATTCTGGACTGATTAGAGTTGAGAGTCGTGTAAGAGGGATACTTCGGTCCTCGAGGTGGTCGTTCGAGTTCCTTTCCTCTGTCGTTCCCCCGCCTTGTTTTAAAGATCTCCCTTCTTTCTTCATTTTTGGAGTTAGGTCCTTATTCCATCCGTACCTGACTCCGGTATTCGGATAGTTCTTCCATTTGCATATATTTCGCAGCCCGGCTCCTTAACTCGTCTAGGTCGACTGGGGGTTTTTTGCAGAGGCTATTAACGAAGGGTCCCGGTTTCAACGCTGTTGTTAGATGGTGCATAGCCACTGCTGGTTCTAAATTATGGATTGAAAGAGTCACTTTGCCGAAGCGTTCCATGAACGCTCTAAGTGATTCACCTTTCTCTTGGCGAATATTGACTATGGCCAAGGATGTTAGTGGATGGGGCCGGCTTGTGGCGAACTGCAGGTTGAAACGTCTTGTGAGAGTTGCGGACGAGTCGACGGAGAGGGGGGAGAGTCGGGTGAACCAACTAAGTGCAGGTCCTCGGAGCGAAGTAGGAAAGATTCTGCACCATAAGGCGTCGCTTTCTGTGTACATATCGACCTGCGTTGTAAATATGTCCACATGTTCTCCGGGGTCGGATGTGCCATCGTATTTGTCTATTACCAACCCTCTCCAATTGTCGGGCAGCTTGGCTTCTAGAATGCAGTGAACGAATGGGCTCCGGTTCATAAGTTCATCTCGGTCATTTTCGGTTACCGATTGATATACCTGTCTTGATTTTTCTTGCAGCGTTGATGATTCTCCTTGATCTTGGACGACGGGGGTAGTAAGGGAGGGGACGTGTGTCCTTATTTCCTCCCTTAGGCCGGTATTTTCCCTTCGTAGGGCTGAGAGTTCCAGTACATCCCTTTCGCGATCCTTCTTCATCTCCTCCATTTCTGCCCTTAGCTGCCTCAGTACAGCTAGGATGCTTTCTTCCGTTCCTCCCTGTATCACTACTTCTGGTACTAGTTCCTCTGGCGTGACGCCCTCTATTTGTTGCCTAAAGGTCCCTTCCTGCTGGCTTCTCGTCATTACCATGCTTAATCCTGAGTGACGAAGTTAATCGCGCCCCACGATGGGCGCCAAAATGTTCCTCCCTTAGCTGTCTTCTAATCTCCGATCAGGCGTCCTGCTGCTGATTTGATGATAGGGAGAATACCTGCAAAAGGTACTCCGATGATAAAGTCAGGATTCGGTTCTGAACAATAAATGTTATTTAATGATCTGAAGTCAACCACTAACCTGTATTTCTTATCTTCTTTTTATAGACATTCTTTTGGGCTAATGGGCCTGAGTCAATTTTTATATTTGAGACCCATAGTATTTTTGATTATCTTTAATTTGAATTATTTACCTTTTAATCCTGACTAGGGGTACTGGCCTAGTATGCCGAGTAGGTATTCGATTTCTTTTTGCTGATGGTAGAACCGAGTTGATTCATTTCCCAGTACATAGGGAAAGTGCATATAACTTCATAAAGAAAAGGTTTTACTTAGGTATCCGATAATGCATAATTAAATTAAGTGATAAGGTATGAAAAATTACAAGGCACGTTGATTAAGATTAAATCGAACAACAAACAATCCCATAATTGTTGATTAATCCTTTATATTTTTGTATTTTGTCAAATTTTTAGCACTGCATATTATATCAGTGAAATAAAGTTTTTTTTAACTGAAATGTAAGCATTAATTATAGCATTGACGATTACTTGATTCAGAGTGAGGAACTTTAATTCCGCATAATGTGCAAGATTTACTTTAAGAAAATGATTATTACGATTTTTAATAATTTTCAAAGAAAATTTCATTAAAATGTTTTATTAAAAACTTATTTTTTTATAAATTTACTTTAAAGAAAGTTTAGATAAAGTATTTTTTTGAATATTTAGTTAATTAAATTATTTACTTGTGTATATCGTTAATCAATAAAAGATAAAGCATTATTGATAAGGAAATGCCACTGTTAATGATAAAGGAATGCTTAATAAATATAACAATGATATATAGTGGGGTCAAATGCTCAAAGCTTATTCAAAATTATATTTATAAATCAGAAATGTCACACAATACATTATTGAGAAGGGGTTAGGGGCCACTCATCAGATCAATCGAAAACATGTCATGTCATATTAGGCAAGATAAAAGGCAAACTACATGCTAAGATTTTCACGTATTCAATTAACGTAAATTATATCTTTCTATTTATTAATAAAAAAAAAGGTGTTAAAAATAATGTATACAAAAATACGTTGCTATTTTTTTTAATCCGCTTTCCTCCAAAACAAATAGAGTTATTGAAATAAAAAAGAAAAAAGAAAAATCATGGAAAATTGAATAAAGTTTATCATATTTCAATTATTTAGATGAATATAAATATAAAGAAGATAAAAAATTATTTTATGGGATTACACCTTTTGAACTATTTGACCGTGATGATTGTGAGAGAAATAAGCTATTAAGAAGAGCAATTTTAAAAATAAAAGTATACTTTTTCTTTTGTTTAACCGCTTTCTCTTTTAATCAAAGAAGGAGATAAAAAGAAAAGAAGAACAAGACTTCAAAATAAAATAATGTGACACCACCAAAGACATGAAAAAAGAAGATGGGACGTGAAAATTTTCTCTTTTTATTTTATTGTATTTTTTAAATAATATAAAATATTTAAAAATTAAAAAAGGTTTAAAAAGTATTATATTAAAGTTATAATTTTTATATTAATTTAATAGTAATAATAACAACAATTTTTTTATTTATATAAATAAATAAGTGCATTTTTCTCATATTTTAAAATTTTTGAATAATATTTTTTTATTTTTTTATTTTCTTCTTCTTATTTTATATCATCTTTTAAACAAAGTACTAAAATTTTAGAAAAATACTAACAACACATTTTTTTAACATTCTATTAATTATTAATTAAAATTTATTAAAAAATATAAAAACTATGCAAGTTTTACTCTTAAATTTAATAAAATTTAATAAATATGTACTATAATATATGTTATTAATATTCTTCAAAGAATATAAATTATATTAATAGAAAATGATATGATAAAAAGATTTTAATTTTAAAATTAAAATTATTTATAATTAATATACAAATAATATTATTTATTTATTTATTTATTTATTACTCATCATAATAAATAAATAAATAAATTTATTTTTTTCTTTTTATCTATTTATTCAATACATTATTTTATTGTATTTTTTTTTTTATAAAATCTGTTTTTTCCTTTATTTCTTTGGTTCCACTTTCCTTCTCAACGATTATAAAATGAAGCATACCTGAATCGATATTAGCGATGATTGTATTTTCACCAAATCTTGCCTTCTTCCAAGCAGAGTCTGGTGGAATTATTCCATCTTTTTCCAGTCCAAGAAATTCCCACGATCTGGTTGTGTGCAATTTATGTTCTTCGCTCAAGAAAACTGAAACTGCATTTCTCTTTTCTGCGCAGATAAAAAGAAACAAACACTATTAATTTGTGCCTTCAAAATGACACAAACTCACACTGATCATTTTCTCACTCGCTATCTCTGACGCTTCTTCCTCTTCGAGCATCGCTGCAAAACCATTTATGTGCTTATTGTACGAATAAACAATTGCTTCCTCAGCCTTCTCGTAACTGTCAAAGAACAAATTAAAATATATCTACGAATCCCAATCCCAGAATATTTGAGGGAAGTTTATATATTATAGCTGCTATACCTTCCCAAGACAGAAGCGAGCAAATCATAATGGGAATTAGTGGCTGTTACCAAATCACTAGGAGAAGGGTCTGGTCCGTGAGAATGTCCTCCCAAGTATACAATGTAGGACTAAAAAGATCATGATCAAAACCAAACAACTTGTTAAATGTTGTAACTTGGCCACCAAAATGTTATATTGAAAATGCTCAACATTTTAATAATGAAAATGATTCAGCAACCACTTATATAACATGTCCAAACTAGCAAAAGAAATTGTATAGGATGGGTGAGAAATAAATGAAAATAAACTTGCCTTTCTAAGGGCATGAGTGGTTGCAGCAAGGAAGTGTAGAAAATTAAGGACAACAAATAGATCTTGAAGATGGAAGACGCCATTGTATTCCTTTAGCTAGTTTTTTGGAGGGGTGGATAAAAGAAACACTACCTCTGCTTATGTAACGTCACACAGCTTGCTATTTTGTTTCTTCCATGTTCCATATAACTTTTGTGTACTTACTGTTTTTTCTCAACAGCCGATGGGATATCGACAAATAGTTACTTATATTTAATTTTAATAGGCATAATACGTAGCCCAAATGGGAAACAATACCATCAACAACGCAACTATACCCTAGGAACTATAGAGAGATGAAGACAGATTAGTCATACGATAGGATTGAGAGGTTGCCTGTTCTAGTATTTCCTCATAAGATATCACTTTTTGTAATATTTAGTATGTCGGTTGAATTTTTTAAAAGAGAATCATAATGTAAAAAAGAAAATAAAATTTTGATGATTTTGAAGATACTCAAAAGAAAGCCTTTTCTGATTAATTTGATTTTTATGGAAAATGAAGATATGAACCACACATGGATTGTTTCAAACCGAGAAAAAGGCCTTGCTATGGATAAGGTCATAAGGATGGAGGATAACTGTAATTGCAGCAGTATTAAAGATGATGACGAAAGAGGTTACCTTGTTACTCCCTGACAAAATTGAATTAAAGCCAGAAGAAATAACTTAATTAGTAGTTATGATAAATGATAACTTGGCATTATCACTTGCCATCTTGTCTAAACAAACACTCTGCACCATCACAATGGAGTGCTCTCATTTCCAATCATTTGGGTTGATTCTCACTTTGTCATGTGTTTTCTCAAGGTTGTCTTACCCCTCATTAGCCGGCATTTTCACAGTTGCTTCCTTTACCTTAAGTGTCACTACTGCACAAGTTCACAACAGCGAAGCAGGTGCTCTTTTAGATTGGAAAGCCAATCTTGGAAACAAAAGTGCCACTTCTTTGTCTTCTTGGATAACAGGTACCACTCCATGCACATGGAAAGGAATCGCTTGTGATGAGTCCCAGTCTGTGACCACTATAAATGTTACAAATTTTGGTTTAAAAGGTACTCTTCACAATCTCAACTTATCATCCTTTCCTAAGCTGCTTAACTTGGATGTAAGTCACAACTTTTTCCATGGACCTATTCCCCCAAAAATTGGTCACTCGTCAAGAATTTCTCAATTGAAAATGGGTTATAATGATTTCAGTGGTTCCATTCCCCTAGCAATAGGTTCGCTTAGAAGTCTAAGCCACCTTCACATTGCCAGTTGTAAGCTAAATGGATCAATTCCTGGTTCCATAGCGAAATTGACCAACTTGTCATATCTAGATTGTCATATCTAGATTTATCTGACAACCAACTTAGAGGTTATATTCCTCAAGAGATTGGGAAGTTGAGTAACTTGAAACATCTGAATTTGAGTGTAAACTATCTACTTTCTGGCTCCATTCCTACAACAATTGGAATGCTCACAAATCTTGTTGAACTTGATTTATCAAGTAACAATCTCACTGGTGCTATTCCTTCAATTGGGAACTTGAGAAATTTAGAAGTACTTATCCTACTTAACAACCCTCTCTCTGGTCCTATTCCTGAGGAGTTTGGAAGACTCCATTCTCTCACAGTACTTAAATTGTTACTCAATGATTTGTCCGGGCCAATCCCATCTTCCATAGGAGACCTGTCCAATTTGAGATCACTTATACTTTTTGCTAATAAACTTAATGGATCCATTCCTTCCACCCTTGGAAACTTAACAAAACTCACCAAATTGGCCCTACATATGAACCAACTTTCCGGATCAATTCCTGTTTCCTTAGGAAACTTGGTCAATCTACAACAGCTTAACCTTGGATCAAACCATCTTTCTGGACCTATTCCTTCCACCCTTGGAAATTTGGCAAAGCTCACCCACCTAATTCTTCTTGACAACAACCTTAATGGTACTATACCACCAGCAATGAATAACCATACTGAACTCGTAAGCTTACAACTGGGTTCCAATGATTTTACTGGCCATTTGCCACAGCACATTTGCCTTGGTGGGTCACTTACACATTTTTCTGCTAATAATAACCATTTCACTGGTCCAATTCCAACAAGCTTAAAGAATTGTTCCTCCCTTCTTAGACTCAACCTAGCAAAAAACCAATTGAGTGGAAATATATTAGATGAGTTGGGTGTATATCCACATTTGGATTCCATTGATCTAAGCAGCAATAATTTTTGTGGCCACCTTTCACCAAATTGGGCGAAGTGCCATAGTCTCACAAGCCTTACAATGTCCAACAACAATTTATCCGGTGGCATACCCCCAGAGCTAGGGCAAGCACCCAAATTACAACGACTTCAACTCTCTTCAAATAATCTAAATGGAAAAATTCCAAAAGAACTTGGTAACTTGACATTGTATGTACTTCTCTTAAGTGACAATGAACTTTCTGGGTACATTCCCAAAGAAATTGGATCTTTGCTAGGCCTTGAGCGTCTGGAGCTTGCAGCAAACAATTTAGTTGGCCCAATTCCAAGCCAGCTCGGAGACTTGGTCAAATTGTGGAACTTAAACTTGAGCAATAATAGATTCTCAGATGCCATTCCCTCTGAATTAAACAAATTGCGGTCTCTTCAAATTCTTGATTTTAGTGGCAATTTGTTAAATGGGACAATACCAGAATCACTTGGAATGTTGCAAAGATTGGAAAACTTGAACCTCTCCCATAATCATCTCTCTGGCACCATTCCATCTAACTTTAAGAATATCTTGAGCTTGACAACTGTTGATGTATCTGACAACCAATTAGAGGGTCCAATTCCTGATATTCCAGCCTTTCTTAATGCTCCATTTGAAGCATTGAAAAACAATAAAGGCTTGTGTGGTAATGCCAAGTGCTTGGAGCCTTGCAAAGAGTTGAGTCACCAACATCATGGAAAAAAGAGAAGTGTCAAGATATTGGCACTATCCTTGACATTGAGTGCTCTATTTCTAGTACTGGTTGTGGTTGGAGTTTCTTTATGTATTTATTGTCAAGGAGAAAGAAAATCAGAAAAGGAGGTCACAAGAGAACAAAAAACTCAAGATTATTTTTCCATATGGGGTTATGATGGAAAAATAGTGTATGAAAATATCATTGAAGCCACAGAGGAGTTTGATGATAAATATCTCATTGGAGAAGGAGGGTCTGGAGCAGTTTACAAGGCTACCTTACCCTCTGGTCAGGTTGTTGCTGTGAAAAAACTTCATGCTGAGGTTGATACAGAAATGCTCAATTTAAAAGCTTTTACAAGTGAGGTTAGAGCCTTGACAGATATCAGACATCGTAACATTGTCAAGTTAAAAGGATTTTGTTCACATCCTCGCTTCTCTTTTCTAGTTTATGAGTTTCTTGAAGGGGGAAGCTTGGAGAAAGTACTAAATGATGATGCACAAGCAAAATTGTTTGATTGGAATAAGAGGGTGAACGTAGTTAAAGGTGTTGCAAGTGCTCTATATCATATGCATCACGGTTGCTCTCCTCCTATAGTTCATCGTGACATATCAAGCAAGAATGTTCTTATAGACTTGGAATATGAAGCTCGCATCTCTGACTTTGGAACTGCTAAGATTCTCAATACTGATTCACACAATTTAACCTCTTTTGCAGGCACATATGGGTATGCTGCTCCAGGTTAGGCACTTCTTTTTGCTCTTAAGAAATCTTACTCTTGATACAAGAAACTTTGCTACTAGATGAGTAATGTGATTTTCATGTTTTAATTTATTGTAGAGCTTGCTTATACTATGAAAACGAATGAGAAATGTGATGTGTTTAGCTTTGGTGTGGTTTCTTTGGAAATAATCATGGGAAAGCACCCACGAGATCTCATTTCTTTGTTGTTTTCATCGTCTACAACGCCATCAGCATCTAATTTGTTATTGAAGGACATGTTGGATGAACGACTTCGTGACCCAGTGAATAGAATTGTTCAAGATGTGATTTTAGTCGCAAAAATAGCATTTGCTTGTTTGAGTGAAACTCCACATTCTCGTCCTACCATGGAACAGGTGTATAGGGAATTTGTGATGCCAAAATCGCCTGTAGTTGATCCTTTTCCCATGATCACAATTGGTCAATTCCTAAATAATTGAATTTGGTTTTATCTTGTGTTGAATCTACCATCTTCTAAGACAATTTAAGTTCATTTATGTATAAATTATTGAGGTGCATTGGAATAAGGGGAGTATGAATCATTGTAATTGAATTACTAAGAATTGTAAAGTGAATGTTGTACCTCACTAGGTATGTTTGTACTCGTTGCATTTATAAAAATGTGTTTTATTTGATGTACCTGTGAGGCTTAGCATGTAAACCTTGACTTTCATAATGTTTTCCCAACGACCATTCACATTTTCTACATTCTTTCTTTTCCCTCATTCCATTGTAAACTCTACTGTACTCAAGAGAGGAAGCTTCTTCATAATTCCTTAATTTTAATTTTTAAAATTCAAATATTTTATTTTTTATATAATACCTTTTTCCATAATTATAATCCAAATGTTTATTATCCCTATACTCATTTCAAATCCATATCAAACCTGAGATAAAATAGAAAGAAATGGAATCGATGGTACGCAAGGCTGAATGAATGAATAATAATAGATCACATCATGAAATTAATCTGTTTATAATATAAATTTGAGTCTTTATTTATTTATTTTTTAAAAAGAATGAGTTTAGAAGCTATTTCCATTTTCATTACATTTATTCTGCATTTAGAACTATTTTTAATATTAATTTTTATTTCTTTCAAATATTATTTTTTAATTTAATTTCAATTTCAATTTCAATTTCAATTTCAATTTCAATTTAATTTAATTTAAAATCTTGACACACTATATCAAATTAAAGATACATTCATCTTTTGGAAAAACTAAGATAATTATAATCCTAATTAATCTTAATTTAAATTTGGTTTTTAATTTTTAACAAGTCATGTCATTATAAATCAATCATCTTGATTTTAATAATTTATTTTTATATTTTTTTCTTAATTTTTAAATTTTTACTTCATTGATTTGGTTTGACTTAATACAAAAAAATTTATTATTCTCTTTAAACTTTTTTTTTTTAATTTAAACACCCGTATAATTTCCAAGAAACTTAAAAATGGGTCTCAACCATATATTGTAATTGGACTTCCAAAGATACAAGTTCACCATGTGATGCTGAATGAACTTATTATTACAAACATACCTCCAACCTAGCAAAGTTCAATGCCTCAACACCTCAAATATATCTTATTTTTGTGACAGTTCAACACCAGAAGAGTAAGTAACACGTTAATATTACATCCAAAAAACCAGCAAATGCAAACACACTCAAATGATAACAGCGTTCAGAGTAATTTCTAAGGTTACAGCACTACAATAGGACTGGTTACTCTGTGCTTGCCATCTGTCCAAGAAAAGTTCCCAAACAGAGGAAAACCACGAGTAGTCACACTCGTTGCTTGGAGAATAACTTGAAACCTCTTCTTCTCTCCACTTCTCTTAAAACTCAACGAACTTGGGAGAACAACAACCTTAATTCCCTTTGGGCCGTGAGTATTCACAACGTAAGTGCTTGGAGGCCCAACATTTGTAACTGTTCGAGTAACATTTACAATGTTTGACCCGGGATGATGCACAGTAATTGAAGGATAATTAAAATCCTCAATTTTGAAAGACTTAGGACAAGTGTAAGATAATTTCAAATTAGCAAACAACTTGAGTAAAGCTTGGTCGTAACCAGAAGCACATAAGAAGTTCGAGTAATCGTTTGTGCTTAAATCATAAACAAGCCCAGGGTCAATTGCAAGGTTAGGCTGAATATGTCCAGCACCATATTCGAATGGAGTTGCTACCTTATCAAATGCATCCTGAATTGGTCGATTCGTGTTATCTAATGTTGTAGCTGAAATCAAGAGCATAGTTGTTAAACAAGTCACAAATTAATGCTTTTCCTAAATATAACATTTTATATTTTACATACATGAATTTATATTTAATTTTTCAAGTGACGTTTATTTATAGTATTCTTATTATGAATATATGAGGTATTATTTTCATAATGTAATGTACCAGTAGTCATAATGGCTGATTTGATAGCTGCGGGGCTCCAATTAGGATGAAGTGTTTTGATAAGCCCAGCAATGCCAGCAACATGTGGGCATGCCATAGATGTTCCTTGTTGCACATTGAAAAGAATCCTACGTTTATCCGATGCTAGATTAGATGGACCCGCGGCTTGTGTATAAGCAGCAATTACGTTCACACCAGGAGCAGTTATGTCAGGCTGAAAAAACAAACAAAGTACCTTAATTAACGACATATTAATTCAATTCTAGTCTAGTAATTACTTGTAAGGACAATTCATATAGTCATGCATGTAGGTATAACAAAATATAGACCTTTAATATCAATGGTTGCACGGCACTAGGTCCCCTAGACGAGAATCCAGCTATAATTGGAGCGGGTTTTACTCCAATGTATGTTTTTGCAGAAGTCAAATAAGCCACAATCTGCCTGCATGCATTATAATTATAAATATTTCACTTGCTACTAGTATTAATTAAATGTGACATTTAAAGGGTATAATTAATTAAGATAATATATGAAGATTACTTGCTGGAGTTTCCGTGGGAACCTCCTTGATCTTCATAACCAGTCCCACTGATACTTGCAGCGGGTAAAATATGAGGCTCAGCTAAAAGGGTATTTCCACTTTGCTTGTCATTTTCCACAAACACTGCCACTGCGCCAGCAAGAGCACCTTGTTGTCCTTCACTAACTGATGTTATTTTATCACTTCGACGGCAAACTAGTATTTTTCCCCTTACTTTAGTAGGATCAAGAGTTCCAGGCTTGCAAAGACGACTGTAGTAATTACACACACATATATAATGAGACAAGAAGCACATATTTAATAGATACTGTATAAACATTTGAATCAAGCTTGGAAAATCAAATTTTTGCTTACGCATCATTAATTGACGCATTAGGAAGTCTAGCGTTCACAGAAGTAATCATAGGATAGAACTTCCGTGATGATGATGGCAAGCCTCTATTAAGACTGGCACCCTGATATACAGTCCAATTAGGTTAATATAAAAGTAAATATAGATTTATAATTATTTCAACATGAATTGAAACACTTTTTAAAATCACAAGAGTAACATATGAACTCTGATTAAAATGAGATCCGAAATAATTATTTTCAAGTAAAAAAAATAGAAAGATGATACCTTAAGGTATTGCTTGTTACCAAGAGAAATGTTGCTGAGAAAATCTCTGTCCATGGTACTAGCAGCGACAGTGAAAATCCAGGGAGCAACGTTTGTGACACTTCTTGGGGAAGGTCCTTCGTTGCCACCAGAGCAAACAACAACAATGTTTCGAGCAATAGCATGGAAGGCCCCAATGGAAATGCCATCAGTGAACAAAGCTTCAACATAGGGAGTGGAAGCACCAACAGAGGCAGAGATGACATCGACACCATCATTAATAGCATAATCGAACGCTTCTAGAATGTCTGCTTCTTGGCAACCACCTGCATCCATCTTATGCCAACACACCTTGTAGGCTACAACACGAGCCCTCGGAGATCCTCCCTTAGCAGTGCCGTTACCGTTGCCAAACACGTCTGCACCAGGAGCGAAATTCCCACCAGCCGTTGACAAAGTGTGGGTTCCGTGACCCACAACGTCACGTGCTGTGCGCTCCGTTGCCTTAAGCTTGCTAACTTCGGCCTCATGATTTTTGCCGAAGATTCTTGCTCCAATCAGCTTCCTTGAACAAATAACCAATCATCATTAGCATAATGTCGTTTAAAAGCAGTGAAATTTGTTATAAGTAGAAATAGCTTAACTGAGTTTACGAATTGAAGTAAAGAAGAAGAATACCGGTTACAAAAATGTTTCTTTGCAGCGCTAAATTGGTCAATCTCGCAAACACCTTTCCCCTGCCACTTGGAGGGGACTGGTCCGTATCCTTTGTCGTTGAAACTCGGGTGTTCCGGCCAAACGCCTGTTCAAGAAGAAGCTTAACAATTATCGATATAATTATATATATACAACAACAAAATATGTAATAGGATGGAATTTTAATTTTTAATTTATGAATCTAATTGAAATATATTAAAAGTGTGAAATTATTTAATTATAAATTATCGAATAATTAATTTTTTTAATATTTATAACAATTATTTAAAAATTCTATTTATGAAATATTTTAGTTATTTAATAGTGTAAATTTTTATATTAATAATCTAAGTAAAATTTATTAATTATAGTGTTCTAAATGACAGTTTTCCTTGGCATTGTCTAGTCTTCAAGGAAAACAAATATATTATTTAAACAATTAAAAGTTAACACCATATATATAATATTAATGTACTTTTTTAGTTTTTTTTTCTATATTTATATATCTTAAAAATACATTAAAAAATAAAACAATAATTATCTCCAAAGTTATTTGAAAAAATGTGTAAAGAAATTATTATGTCGTCGTGTCCAATTGAAATGAAAGTGGAGCTGAGCGATGGTTAACTAATGCAAGTTAAGCTTAAAAAATACAAAATAATTCGTTCAAACCTATTTCTTTGCTGGTAATAAACTCATCTAAGTGACCTACTTTAAGATTTTTTTTTCAAAAATGTTTATTTTAACATATATTAAAGATAAAATATTACATTAAAAATATTTTTTTAAAATATTAAAATTTAAAACATCAATATTTATCAACTAAATTTGGAACAAAAAAAAAAAAGAAAGAATCAAAACATTTCATTTAACAAGATTAAAATAAATATTTTAAAAGTCTCAAGTATTTACAATATTCTACATAATCTCTTAATTATTTACATATCATTAAGAAGGATTTTTATTTTTAATTGTAATGGCCTCTTTTTCATCATCGTCTTTATTATTATAATTTAGAATAAAGTATTAATTATATTAACAAATTCTAATGTAAAATAAATTAATAATTTTAATTTTATAAATAATAAAATTAAAATGAATATTACCTAAAAAAATATTTAATTATATAAATAAATAAAAATGTAGGCAGCCCGCAGTCTAGTTCATCCCGAGTTGCATGTATTTAGACTTAAATAAGTTAGGTAAAAAAAATTTAATTTTATTCAAAATTTCAATTATAATGCTCAAATTCTCATATTTTTTTGCATGTATATTCCAACCATCCCATTAAATAGGCCATTTTGGTGACTCAAAATGAAAGTAATGAAAAGATTGATGTTGAATCAAAAGAGAAAAGTCTCGAAATAAGTAGTGGTTTCTTTATTAAAATTTAATCGATAATAGTTAAATAAAGTTTTTTTTATGAGTTATATATTTTATGTAATGTTTTTTACGATATCTTGGAACACCCTTTTTAAAATATTTTCATTCAATCATTGTCATTTACTTTGTCTTATAATTTTTTCGTTTTTATCTTTCAAACATTAAATACATTTATTTTAGAAAATTAATTTCTCTTTCCATAAATCCATCGAGCGCATTTCATTTGCGTCCTACGTGTTTATTTCATGCCTCTGGCTCTGAGTGATTAGGAAGTCCTCATTCATAGATACATGATTACGAAGCATTAACCAAGCATTAGCATACCTGTATCAATATTAGCGATGATTATATTTTCACCATATTTTGCCTTCCTCCAAGCAGAATTTGCTGGAATTCTTCCGTTTTTTTCCAGTCCAAGAAAATCCCATGATCTGGTAGTGTGCAATTTATACTCTTTGCTCAAGAAAACAGAAATTACATTCGGGTTTTCTGTACAAATGAAAACACATAATATATTGTATCAATTTATGGTTCAATATGAGTAGAAAATCATGGGCATGGTAATAATCTTTGCTCACTTGCTATCTCTGATGCTTCTTCCTCTTCAAGTAAGGCAGCAAAGCCATTTATGTGCTTATTATATGAGTACATAATTGCTTCCTTAGCCTTCTCATGACTATTAATCAAACATTATATACACATTTAGTTAACACATCCCAATAATATTTAACATATATAATTTTGTAGTTGCTATACCTTCCTAAGACTGAACCCAGTAAGTCATAATGGGAATTTGTGGCAGTTTCAAGATCACTAGGCAAAGGGTGTGTCCCATGAGAATGTCCTCCCAAGTACACAACATAGGTCTGAAATAGAGGATCAAATCAAGGAATTGGTGAAATGTTTCATGGTACATAAACAAACAAAATATAAATTTGGAAACTCTGAAAGTTAGAACTTGGAAGAGACGGGAGTGAAGAAGCAAAGCTTTCTTGCCTTTCTAAGGGCATTGGTGGGTTGCTGTAAGAAAGTGCAGAGAATTAATGCTGACAGAAGAAGTTGTTTGAAGATGCAGAATGTCATCTTATATCTTCAACTGGTGTGTTCTGGAGTGCCTGACATGGGGCTTCTTCTTCTGCTTATATATAACTGTTTTCACTGCTTTCTGAGGGCGAATATGATTCTTATTGTAGGAACTATTTTCTTTCCATAAATCATATTAAGTTTAATTTAAATGCACTTATCAATTAATCATCAATTGTCATATATTTGAAATTGATGACTTTTAGTATATTTGCTTTAAAAGTTATATCTAAAGCGTTATTCAATTAGTTGAATGGGTAAAAGTTTTAGCATTAATAATGTAAGCATTTTAACATTTAAGTGATACATGAGTCCATTACAATGTTTTAGTTATTATATATATTTAAAATTGGATTAACAGTTAAGGCTTTTTATTTACTTTATAACTCCAGTATAAAATTTTAAAAATTGGGACAGTGCAAGCAAACTCGTTCAAACAATCGGGTATTTACGAGAAACAAGTCTTTCATCTTGTTGGGAGAAAGTTCAAAAAGAAACCAAGGCAAATCAAATAAGAACAGCTATTTGTCATGATTGTAGTTTGTGATGGAACAAACCATGGCATTTAATGCAGCAACACCTATGCAAGGAATAATTGACTTACATTATAATATCTTTTTCTTCCTCATTATGACTTCTGGTTTATGTATCACAAATATTGATTTGTCCTTTATGACATTTCAATTATAAAAAAATCTCAATCCTGTCTTTGTAGGATTGTTCATGGAAGTGCAATGAGACTATTTGGACCATTTTTACTTGCTTGGTTCTTCGGATTGTGCCAAAAATTGTATTATTTGTACCCCAAGTTTTGTTATAATTTTTTTCCATATTTAGTTGTAAGTTTTTTTTTACGTGTGTATTGTTTATCTTCTTCTTTACATATCTGAACTTACATTCTCTTTTACATTTTCATTTTCATCCTTTTTTTTTTTTTCTTTTCCAAACTCTAAATATCAATACTACTTAAAAAAGAGAACAACATCATTGACACTTTATTGACAATTTCAAATCAAATATCTTCTTAACTTTGTTGACAACGTTGAAAGTGAGGAAATATTGATATACAAGTGAATTTGGTTAGTTATTACTTGAAAAGAATTGGAGTAATTGAGAAACATTACTCAAAAAGCTTTCTAAAAGAGGTTAGGCAAATAACAAGGGCGAGTTAAAAAAAAAATTGATAACAAGTTTTTTACTTAACGAAGAGGAAATGTTGTTGATGATAGTAAAAGGGTTCAAAAGCATTATTATTGGTGGCAACACTGTTTTTCTCTTTAAGTGGTGACACCGTTATTTTTCGTGTGTAAGGTTAAAAAAGAAGAAAAAAAATAAAAGTGAAAAGAAGATTAAAAAAAAAAAGAGAAAAAAACACAGAAATAATATATATCAATAATTTAAAATGAAAATAAACAATACACCAGCGATTCATATAACTGAAAAAGATAAATAAATATAATATAAACATAATCTATTTTTATATATTAAAGTTAATTATTTATTTTAAATATAAATATTTTAAAGAGTTATTTTCGTTCTCATTTAACTCCTTTTATATATAAAAACTCACTCAACGTGAATATAACTTGAAAAGATATAGTTAAAATAATAATTATATGTATATATATATATATTAGAACAATTGCATCATACGATGGAACATGCAGTCACTGCTGTATAAAGAGGACAAAATATTCAAATCAACCAAAGTGATATATTACCAAAATAGATTTACATTATTAAAATCTAATTTTAATAGCTCAAATGCTATTAAAAACTATTTTCAAAAAATTATCTTTTGAAACCAAACTAGATTTCTTTATTTTCCTAACAAAACAAATTGGTCATTTGGAATCCAACCCATTTCACTCCCATTCTCTTGTTCACAAAATTTTGATTTCAATCATGTACAAATATGCAAATATCTACTCCATGGATTGCAAAAATATCTATACACCACGTTTCACCGTCATCTTGTTCTATTCTACCTACTTTGTTATATATATATATATATATATATATATATATAACAATCAAACTCAAAGTTTACTTATTGCTCACTACGACAGCACCACCGACAACTTGTACCTCCAGAAGGTGAATAACAACGAGGTTTAACGGGTGCTGTGAATAAAATGCATTAGACATATTCTAGGTTTATTGGCAATCAATGGAGTTAAATAGCAAATATTCTTAAGGACATGCAAGATAGTAGTTGACAAAAATGTAAAGAGCCAAGATGTTTATCAGTTTAATAATCAATTAAAAAAGAAGAATGATAGTTTAGTCATTTATTAAATAATTATTACTAAGTTTGATTAAGTCTTAATCTGAATAAGTGCAATAAAATAAGATAATTTTTTAAAAAATAAACACAAATAATTTAAAAAGTAGAAAATGCCCTTAATCAAATAACAAGATCTACTCATCAACCAAGTTAGTTAAATAATACATGTTTAATTCTTTTTAAATAAGAGCTCAACTTTAAATTTTGTGTATAAAAAAAATGTTAAAAATATCAATCACACTATAATGTGAATGATTCCAAATCAAACATAATTATTTCCTTAAAAAAATATTTTTGACTTATAAAAAAATAACAATAAGACCCACCCTATCAATAGATTTTATTACACTTGTTCATAGAAATATACAAAACCAAACCAAAATTCATGAACAAATCCATAATAGAGATAATTAAAGACAAAGCTAAGGAAATCAAAATTCCCTTTCATACACTAATAGTCTTTAATCTCTAGGCACAATTCTTCTTCTCGATACAAATATTTGGTTAAAATTGAGTCAGTATTACATTTGAGGTGAGAAATAATTAAAATTGTTGAAAATATTGATATCAATATTTTTTGAAATATATATTAAATTTTCAAAGAGGGAAAACTATCAGATAAAGACTTAATAACTATTTCACAATATAAAAGCTTGAATAAAGAGTAAACTTCAATTACATCACAATCCAATCTAGGGCTATGAAGCTAAGATTTAGATCGAAACATACGACAGAAGAATAAGAAACAATAATAAAAGAGAGAGAAGATAATTTCCTAACTATTTTCCAATGAACTGAAGATGAATTAAGAAAAATCCTCCAAAACCTTTTTTTTGAGGCTAGACCTCAACTCTCCTTTTAAGTTTTCAATTTTTGTTCTCAACTTATGAAATTAATGAAATGTTTATTTTATTAAATATTATTTTTAAAAGTACTTTGCAGAAAAATCTTTTAAAAACTTGATTATATATGAATCAGATTAATAATTTTTTTAGAAATATAATAAGTTAGAGTTCTTTTTATACTCTAATTTTAGATTTATAATATTAAATATTATTTTTAATTATTATTTCTAAAAACTATGTATATATATATATATTAGGAAATTCTTACTTTCACAAGTTTCTAAAAAGTTCACCGATGTGGGAATCACCGGAGACACTTTAGTTAGATAGGAGAAGTAGAAATGGAAAAAAGTGAGGAAATGAGGAAAAGTATTTTTGTCACGTTTCGCAGGGATCATTGTCATTATTTTTTCCTTTTTTTAATATTTTCACTTTTAACAATTAAAAAAAAATTATGACCTATATAAATTAAAGGAAACCATTTCTTATTCTTTTTATTTCCAACAATTCAGGCCTTTTAAGGGTATAAATATTCGCTTAAAAATTATTTTCTCATCATTTTTCTCTTTGCATTTTTTCCTAAACCAATCATAATCTAAAAACCAAACCAAATGCAGTAAAATTTTTAATTTATTTTTGGGTTGTAAAATATTTTCTATGGAGGCATGTTAATGAAATATATTCTTCCCTGATACTTATTGTGAGACATAAAATAAACTAGTATTTGTATCCATGTCTTTTGTATGTCTAAGTATGCTTAAGTTGAAATTGTTCATATAAAATGAGAATTTGAAATTAACTGATATTATTATTTATATAATATTTTTCTACAGTAATTTTTCATAATATTATTTTTGTCTATATTTTTTTTATCATATCATTTATCTTACCAACAATCATTTCTCCTCTCTTCCTACATATCTCATGATTGTAAAATGCTTTTTACAATACTGTTCTTTTAAAAATAGTTTCTTTTCAGAATTTATTACAAGTAGAAGTAATAAAAATATAAAATCAGGTATAATTGTTTATTTTTTTCATATAATTACATTCAGTCCGACATTATCATTTTTTGTTTCACTTTAAGAAAAGTGAATTATGGTAGAGAAATATTATTAATAACTATAAATAAAGGTGAGCGGTACCACAGAAAGGAAATAGAAAGAATAAATAAAGGTAAGAAAAAAAAAGGTGATTTAAAAAAAAAAAGACAAATAAAAGCAACATTAATATTTTTTTTCTCTTTTTGGTTGAAATTGACGCTTTTTTCATTAAAAAAAGAAAGGGGTTACTCTTTCGAGTACGCGATTGATGTAGACCCTAGCTAGGGCACCATAGCAGAGTGCAGTTACGGTAGATTCTAATCCTTCTCTTCTTGCAATAAAATCCATCGATACTTGTAAATCATCAAAGACGAAGATGCTTGGAGTGGGGCAAACAATAATTTGCTTTTCGTTCCACACTAATAATTGAATCATAGCAAAGTAAAAATTATCTTCATCTGTCCACGTGTCTGTGTCTTGTACATCACCCACTTTTAATTTTTTCACTAATACAAAAAAATACTTTCTATAAAAAATTATTACATCGATTCTCTACGGAATGTATAGAAAGAGATGAACCGTCATTTTTTAAAATTTATATAAATTTTTTTATATTAATTTAAAAAAATTGATGTAGATTTCTGTTCACATCAATTTTAAAATATCTGATGTAGATAAACTATATAATGAAATTTTTAAATTATATAATATTTTTAAAATTTATATAAATTTTTCTCCATCGATTAATTTTATAACAGATGTAGAAAGTATTATAATTCAATTTTTACGTTTATAGCTATAAACTTTGAATAGACATAACTTATAGCATAAGATTCTAATTTATATAAATATATA